TGAGTTCATCTGCCTGGAGCATTTCCATTGATGTTCATGGCGTTCCATGCTCAAGAGGTCTGGGGAGCTTAGTCTTCTATTTTTTGGGAGTAAATTCTGTCCAGAACTAACATTATTTAAACTAACTTGGTCTAATTAATTTGCATTTACTTAAGAGGCAAACAACCAATTTACTGCCAGAGCAGAAAGCCATTTGTTGGTGTCCCACTGACAACTGCCGTCGGGTGGGTTTTTTTAAAGCCCCTCCCTGTGCCGAGGGCTGCTCTGGAGCTGGAGGCTGGAGCTGGGCTGTGGTGCAGGACAGCCTGCCCAGTCCTTACCGGGTCAGGGTCACAGCGAGGTGTGAACTCACTCACTGCTCTCCGGAGCAGAAATAAAGCAGGGCAGGTGCTGTAACCCCAGTCTGCTGGCTATGTGAACGTCTGCTGCAGAAAGGGCCTTTGTTATCTCTGCCAAGCTTAATTGTATTGATCTTCTCAATATGGTTCGGTCTGAATGTTCTCACTTTCTAATCTTGTTATATCAGAGTTGTAGAAAGCAAAAATATTTCAGTCTTCTAAAGGGACAATAGAGTTTCTGCTTTGCTTGACTTTGAGTATTCTTTTTCTCACTAAAGAATATTGTTTTAATGCCTCTGTTATCGACAGGTCACTGGAAAGGGACTGTATTTGGACACAGTGATAGTGTTATTTCAATGACACTTTTGTGTTGGACCAGTATCACTGTAAATGTGGTTTGGTTATGTGTAACTGCAGCTATCTCCCTGCAGGTTACAGCTGATAGGAGTTACAGGGTGACAGGATTTCTCTGTCTTTTGTTTTATGCTGGGCAGCCTGTCTGTCCTGCCACTACACTAGAAACTGCAGCTTTGCTACTGAGGGCTTCTGAGCCTCAACAAATGCGGCGTTTCTTTGGTCACACCGCTCCGTTAGGATGCAAAGGCTAACCACTTATTTCTTCAATAACTAATTATGAGCCGAACTGAAAATTGCTCAGGGTACCAACGTTCTGGCATGTGATTATTTGCAAACTGCTGAATTTACCTGAGTCAAAAGTGTTTTTAAAACAAAGTTGAGGTTGAGAGTACACGCTGACAAAACAGAAGCAAAAAAGAAGCTTCATACTCTAGTTATTATGGGGATGGAAAACAGAGAGGAAAAGGCAGCATTACTTTTGAGATACTTTTGGAATACCAGTTGTGGTAACCCGGTCAGCTTTAATCCCGATCTTATGCTATGCTAACTTCTTTTTCTCTGTACCTTTGGGCTGTGTCTAACGATACAGAAATGTTCTCTGAGACATTCATGGCCAAGAGAACAGTGGAACTGGCACATCTGTATGTATGAGTTGATCGTCAGCTATGAATGACTTTGAAATTATTATCTTTGACATAGGAAACTTTCTAAGAGTTGAAAGAATTAAAGATATCAAGGAGTTTCATTCTTCTTTTAATTAAAAGCAAATTATTAGAACTACATACAAATCACAGTTCTATATGAATTTGTAATATTCAGGATGGTAACATATGACCGGTTCTGGAAAAGGTGGTATATCCTTATTTGATTGATACATGGGAGTAACAAGTAAGATTATCTAGAGCTTCATTAAGAGACCTAGAAGTGTAAAGAACCAACTGTATCCTGACATTTCGAATACCTTTGTAATGCAAGTAAATTGCCTGACAGAAAACCAAGGTAAAAGGGGGGAATGCATCCCTGTAAATCAGTAAGCATTTAGCACTGTTTTTCTGGCTTGCCATCACCTCCTAAAGGAAGAAAACACAACTTACTAAGTATTTGCAAGTAAATTTTATTCTTATTTTACATTTCTTACCCTAGCATCTATATTCCTTTGCATTCTCTCTCACACTACTTGGTCCCAGGTTGGCTCTACCCTCCGCTTAGCTGTATAATCTGAGACTGATTCAGGTTTGATCTGGATTTGAAACAGATCAAAAAGTGAATGCAGCAGTGCAGGTGGTTCAGCAGACAGCAGCATGATCTATTAGCCAATACCTCATTGTCTAGTGTAGGTCTAGGATTGGGACTCAAAAAAAAAAAAAAAAAAGATACTTCATTGGAAGAAATTTCCAACTGGAACCTCCCAGTTCCTGGCCTCTCTGCCTTCCTTGCAGGAGGGTGAAACCAACTGCAACTCTGCAACTCCTGTCCCCACCCCTAGAGAGGCTGTTGAAAAGTGGGGAGGCGAGAAGCAGTGGCTTTCAGCCTTTCTCTGGAAGCCACTTGCACAGGAGATAAGAAAACTTGAGCCCTGAACTCCTTGCCTCACCTTCATCAAAAAAATTATTAAAAAATTACTCACTGCAATGGTACTATCTGTGTTTTGCTGGGGGCAGAGGAGGGGAAGAAAAAAAACCCCAAAAAACGAAGGCCCAAGCAAACAAAAATGTTTGCTACTTTGAAAGCAAAAGGATGCCCGAATACCTCTGTGGACTGAAACCTAGAAGATTTTCTTGTGATTGTGTGCTAGTGCATGCAGGAAGACCCCGAACGGTGCTCTCCCAAGCATGGCCTTAACTCCCAAACCATCCTCTCTTCCTGACTGTTCCCTTCAAACTGCCTCATATATAAAGGACTGAAAAGCTTAAAAGTGTTAATGTTGACAGAATCTGGACTGTTTATGCCTTAGGAAGCACTCATTTCAAAATGTAAGTGCTTTCAGCAAGAGGCTGCGATGAATAGAACTCTGTACTTACCAAAATCCAGGTCATTCATGTTGCAGTGAAATAGCCTCCCCATTTACCACCAACTCTACCGCATTCCGGTCTGATATCTCTCCCAGAATAAGCTGATGTCCATCTGCCTGCAGGACTGCTGGAATAGGGCAAAGAAGCAGTGGCCAGTGTTGTATTTGCTTGGTTTCCTATGAACTCCAAGTATATCTAAGTTTTAGCACTTATGAGGGCAAGGAGCAAAAAACAGTGTTAATGTAGCTAAGTGCTGCACTGGCTGATCTCTGGCTTCACTATTACTACATTAATGGATCTCCTTTGAATGAAGCCTCCACCCTCTGTCATTTCTAGCTCTAGCGGTAAAAGGCAAGAAATTCATTATGTACTTGTATTTGCTATTAATTGGCACAGTAGCTGTAAGAAATTCAATGTATTTATTTGTAAGTACCATGGAATAAGTCTAAATTCAAAAGAAATCTCCAATAAATGTTAAAATGGTGCTACAGAACAGCTGGAACATTAAGTGAACAACCTTGATAACCCAATTGTTCACTGACGCATAATTAATTTTGCTTCTGTTGAAAGAGTAATTCCTCAGGATGTTAAAGACTTGAGATTTTGTGGAGCTGAGGATCAAACCAGAAGGGACAAAATCCTCTCTCAACCCACATATTTGTTTAGATGAATTAGGTGCTTTTTGAGTTTATTGTGGTACATTGTATAGTGTTGTAAATTAATCAGAACTGGGGAAATGCCCAATTCCAGCAACACACACATGCCATGTGCTTCTGCCCTGACCCCCATAGATTTTAACTGGTTTTAATTCATCCTATTCTATTGATTTGTTTTGCAAGGCAGAAGCAGAATTCTGTATAGTCAAACATTCAGAGTCTCACCTTCCTAGGTTTGTATCAGCTATGTGTTCAGGCTGCGGCAGCGTACTGACCAGTACACATCAGTCATTTTGGCAGGTGGAGGTACCACTCCCTCTACCCCAGTTCCGCTGTAGTGTCTTCCAAGGGTTGGCATTTCTCAGACATTGAACCTAACAGTGTCCACCTGCGAAAGCTCTTTGCAGCATTTTAATTCAACTTGTTGAAAAACTACAGAAAGAGGCTGAGGAAGGAGTCTGGTTCATAAAGCAGCATGCTTTCAGCTTCTGCTGCTGTTTTGTCATCCTTATCAGACAGCTCTCCCTGCTTTCTAGGAAATGTTAATGGCAATCTCTGACAAATAATTCACATTCATAAAGTGGATGAGAGATGACATCTCAACACTGTTGGCTCCAGATTATAAAAAAAAGCCTTACTAGTTTCCCTAGATTGAGGCCCTGTCTGTCTCAGTCCACATCGGGTAGGTTGCAGTGATCTAGCAACCCCAGTAAGCGAAATTGAAGGAGTTGCCAGTAGCCTTTATATTTCATTAACTCGTGCTCTTTCTAAGTTTCCAGTGTCAAGCAAACAATGGTTTATCTGATAGTGGGTTTATCGATCCTTTTTTTTTTTTTTTTTTACGCATGAATTTTTATTATGTAGCCTCTTGCAGCTGGAAAGCATTGGGAGGAAAACCGTTGCCCGTTCCCTAATAAACAGAAAATAGGCTACACCAATCCTTACTGCGTGATCAATCAGAGATTAAAAAAAAAAACCTAGCTGCATCTTCTGTGGTCACGGCAACTTTAGGCACGGAGAGCAGATTTCTCTAGCTCAGGGCCCCCCGCCCGGCGGGACCGCGGGGCTGGCAGCGACCCCAGCTGCTGCGCTTCACAGCGGAACTGGAGCTTAAACGTTCCCAACCACCACGAGTTTACTCCAGCCTGGGCTGTTAACGAGGTCTGTGTAGCTGGGAAAGGAAAAGGCAGGCACACGGCCCTACGAGCGGATTTTAGGAGACGGGGAAGACGGGAGCGCCCGTGCTTTGGCTTCCCGCGGCGCGTTTCAGGAGCAGCTCGCCTCCCTCCGCACGTAACGCAACGGCCGTGCGGCGCCGAGACCCTGCAGCGCGCCGTGGCCACGGAGGAGGCCACGGAGGAGGCCACGGAGGAGGCCACGGAGGAGGCCACGGAGGAGGCCAGGGGGGCCCGAGCCTGCAGCGCGGCGGGCGGACCCCCCCACCCCCGCCCCCTCAGGCCCGGCGCGCGGGAGGCACCGCCCCGCCCCGTGCCGCTCGCGCCGCGGCCGTTGGCAGCCGTTAGCGGCGCCGCCCCATCTCCCCCTCCCCTGAGGGGGCGAGCGGCGGCGGCGGGAACCGGCCCGGAGCGTCCCCCGCGGCGGGGCGGGGGGCTGCCCGTCACAAAAAGGCGACAAGATTTTTTTCCTCTGGTAGTTTTTATTTGCGGTGCGGAGCTCCGTCTTTAAGCTGAATTCGTGTTACCGGCGTACGCTTCAGGTGGTATATATTAATATAGACAGATAAATATATTTCAGTAGAGCACAAAACATAACAGAAAGTGGTATAAATACACATTTACCCTTGTCATAAATCTATACTATTTTATAAAAATAAAAGTATCACTAAAATATTTTCATGTCTTCTGCAACTCCTACGCCAGAAGCCGTTCAGCTGTGTGGTCGCAACCGCGTCCTGCTCGGTTACAGATCGCACAGGGGCTCTGACAGCCCTCAGAGGAGCGAGGTCAGGTTCTTACGCCCTGGAAACACCACTGTTTTGGAGTCAAGTTGCTTTAACTTTTGCTCACTGTGAATATAGGAGTTCACAAAAACTGGCTTTTTAATTTCTACATCCCAGTACTGTGTGTACGTGAGTGCACACCTACAGAGAGAGTGAAACAATTACCTTCTTAAAATTCTCTTGCAGGGGGTTTGTATGTCCCTGGTCCCACCAAGAGGTCTCATTAAATCATTGCCACTTGTTACATTAATGTAGTTACGCTTAGTTTGTCAATCAAGATTTTCTCCCTTTTTATAATGTTCCATAGTTTTCTGGTTGGAAACATTTTAAAAGCTTCACGTTTGATTTCCGTAAGTGCATGTACACAGACTGTATATATTTAAACTTCAGAAGAGAACTTCATTTGTATGATACAAATAATTTTAAATAAGAACCTAAGAAAACTACCTACTCCCTAAAATCCTTAATAGATGCAGCTGCAGCATGGCATCATACCCCACAGGTGTAGCGAATTCTGTTAACTGAGAAGCAGCGCAGTCCCTTTACAAAGCTCCTGCTGGCAAACTGAGAAGTTTGTAATGCCCTGTGCTGTGAATTTTATCCATCTATAATTTAATCAGGACCCTCCGGTTTGAACATATCTGAACTGAGTCTGAAATTTCTTGAACAAAGTCAGGTACTTTGCAGATACTACTTTTATCATGGGTAATGGCTAAGCATATACACAAATGACTTCCTCTGGAGGGACTGAGTTCATTGAAGCTGCTCATTTCAAGTATTTGGGCTGAATCCTAAAACCAGATCAGTAACTATCTAAGCTACAAGTATGGAATGGTTAGCTAAATAAATAGGAAGTATGGGTGGTCACTGGTTTCTTCCTCGAGTAAAAATACAGTGTCAGTATTTTCCACCACCAGTATTTCCCAGTGTTGGAGAGTCCAGAGTACCTGTTATGGCAGCTGTAGACAAGTAAGGGGCTCTTAATGATAAATTGGTATAAAATTTCAGGTGTGGGTGGAGTTTCTGCTTAAATTCTCAGTGACTGTGTGTTGAGTATTGTCTGAGCTACTGTTAAAATTCCAGCCAAAGAAGTAAAAACATTGGTAATATTTGAAAATAAATATCAGTACTTATAGAAATAGGAAAGCAAAATAAAACTATACATTTCATTAGAAGCAAATTAATAAATAATCAAATAACTATTCACAGCATTTTTATACACTTAAAATATGGTTATAATTTTAAACATACAATTCTATGAAAAAATCTTGAGATTGTAGTGCTTCTTTTACGTTAAAAATGCAGAATGCCTTTGTAGTGACAAGAGACAGAACAAAGCAAAATTACTGGGAATGTTTCAAAGTAATTTTCATAATTATAGTACAAGAACAATTTAAAGTCATATTTTGAATAGTATATTCATTAAGTGAACATTTGGTTTGACTAACAGTTTTCTTGATTTTTTAAAAAATTTATTTTACATTTTGACTTTGGGGCAGCTTTTATGCCATAAATATTATTTATATAATCTAAAAATAGATTTCATCTTTGGTTTGAACCACAGCTCATGGAGTAATGAAAAAAACATATTTTTAAATTAATGCCTTAACTTTAAAAAAAATGAGCCCACCTCTCAATCACTGTAAATCATCCCAGTTGATTTGTTCCAACATAGCTGACTTGCTCCAACTGATTATCAGGCCCACTGTGCTTTCATATAGGGGGTTGTGGGTAGCCTTTACCAAGCAGACTGCTTAATTGTATGTATGCAACTCCAGAGAGGCAGTAAAATAAGTATGGACATACGCAATCTACTGAATCCATACCTAGAGTTCTTAGAAACGTAGCTGCACTTCTAGTTTATTGTAATAAATCTATTCTGTTTTTAGGCTTGAAAGTGCTTAAGCATGTGATTGTTCAGTCTACAAAGGAAGAAGAAACAGCTCCACTTCTCCACGGGTAAGCAAGCAGTTCCTGGCCAGGCTTCGAGTGTGCTCCAGCTCACCTAGCAAGGGACCTGCACTGGAGTTAGTAAGTAAGTGTCTTCAGTCAGTGAGTGAGTTGTGTTCTGACAATGATGACTGAACACCTCTGAGCGAGGCAACATATTTCAGCTTGAGAGAAAGTAACTGAAAATGCCAGTTCTTGGAAACAGTTTGTAGGAAATGAAAGAGATAATGGAAACCCCTCAGGATAACATTCACAGACCATGGGGATTACCAGATACTATATTACTTTCCTGATTGAATTTACTGTATATTGCAGAATATGATGTCCTACATCTACTATTAAAATATATAAAATATAAATCCCTCCGAAGTGGGGTGATGTAAAGCTGATATGAATATTAGTACTCTTAAACTGGTATTTATAGCTCTAGCTTGGAGACTTCCTTATATTGCAAGTTTGCCTCTTCATCCTAGTTATTTATTGCTCTTTGATTTTGTATGGTTGCATACACTCTCCTGCTAGTCACAGTGACTAAATTCATTCCTGTGCAAACAAAAAAGGTCTTAAGTAGGACTGGATTGCACTTATGCTTTGTGTTTCACCTCTCTGTCAGACTGGATTTTGCTCACTGATAGAAAGAAACAAGTCAATTCATGACGGACAAAATTCTCCCAGTTCTCTGTGATGGATCTTATCTCCAATATGCTGCTTTTAGAATGGGACTGTGCTTGAGGCCAGTGCAAGCCAGAATAAAGGCTAAATTATTTTTGCAGCATTTTTGAATTGGGGGAACATGCAAACACTAGTGTAATCTTCCCAAACTGTTTGTGGAAATATACAGTGACTACTCTTAAAAATAATCTGTTTTTCCCATGTAGCATGGTGGTATTAAATACTCTTCATGCAAATTTTCAGGATTTAATGGCATCAGTCTATTATTTATAATGTCATTCTCAAGTTTCCCAATAGGGGAAATCTCTTTTTTTTTTTTTTTTTTTTTCCATTACATGCAAATCTTGCAGAAATAGATGTGAATATTTTAGAACTACTTGCAGGGAATATTAATTAACTGGTGTGCCTTTAGTATTTCATTTATGTCATCTACAAACTTACTCAGTTTCTTAGGTGATAAAATAGCATGTTTGTGGTTAGAAATGATAGTACAACACATACTCGTCTTACTTCCTCCTTCATTCCAGCCAGCGAGACTAAACCTTTTTTGCGGATTCTCAAGCAGGCAACGGTAGATTTAGTACACACAGAGTTTTAAATGTTGGCAACAATGTAAAACAAATGACATTTTGGTTCTACACTAATATATTACTAGTACTATCTTGCCTTTGAACAACTATGTCATTGTTTCTTCACAAGGTGGATTCAGGAGAATAATTCCCACAGCCTCTTAGAGTTTGCGGTCGCTCTGCAGCTGTGTGGCAGCTTCTTGTTTAGCAAGAGGTTTTGACGTAGTAGAATTGCATCTGCTGCACAGATCTCTCATTTCTAGGAGACTTTCTTCCACAGCTTTTGCAAACGCATCTGAGGAGGTTTCTTTACAGTCTTTAAAGCTTGAGATGCAGAATAGTATATGCTCTGGCTGAGGGTTATAACATGTTCCATAACCATTGGGCACCACAGGCCCATAGCAGCAGAACATTTCCATAGTGGTTGGAACCTGGTTGCAGGGAGAAGGTAAGGAGTGATCTCCAATTAATCAGGGCACCCGAAATCAGCTAGTTTGGAATGAGGAAAAAGATAAACAAATGCTACAAAGGCTGGAAAGGTGGTGAATCCCCCCTGTAGAATAACACTTCCTTCAGAAGTCCAGACCTAGAGCTGACACTCAGAAGGTAAAAGCTGATCTCAGTACAGAACTTGGTTGCTCTGTTTGTTTGACACTGAAAACTGGTATTGTTTGAAGTGGTTATAATGCATTTCTTTGCTCACTTTATATAGATCTTTAATAGGAGTAAGCTTTGTTACTGATACGGAATTTTTAAGGCTGTATGTAATTCTGATACATAAAAATCTGATACATAAAACTTCTCTAAGGTTTTTAATTTTTTAAGGTTATGTTAAGCTTGTAATGTGAAGACTGTAATCAATTATAGAAAGCAGTATTGTCCATTTCTAATAATCATTTATAATTGTGATGTTGTATAAAAATGTATTTTAATGCATCTAGGTGCTATATTTCTATTACACCTCAGTTTAATCATGGCATAATACAGGAGTGAAACATTTTCTCCTGCAGAAAACAAAAGATGTGTTAGAAATCTATATGTTTCAGACTTTGTGTACATGGGCCTTCACAAATGACATTTGGCTTTTTAATGGTGTAGAACAAGCCATTAGTCCTGCTAATAGAGCCATAGAATTGTCAGATAAATTTGCTGTGCAACAGCCGAAGGCCATAAAGCTATTCAGAAGCACTCTTTGCTCATGGATAGTTTCTTGGAGAATTTATGTAGTAGTATGTTGGTTACATTCACTCGTGTCTGAAAGCCTAAAAACATTATGACAAGATAAAATTACTTATTAAGGTTTTATGCTGTAGCATGATATTATAAGGCTCTTTTGTTGCATAGTTCCAATCTGCAGTTGGGTTAGTGTTTCAGTAAATGTACTCCTACAAAGATGTCTTCTTTCATTAGGACTGCTACTATGTGCAATGAAACGTTTAATTTTTAGGCTGTATGATATAAGGATGTTTCCTTATTCAGAACATTAAATATAGGAAGTGTTGACTGTTAGACTATCTTTGTATAGTTGCAAATAACTGTAAATCCACAAATGTCTGTAAATGTCTAAAATATCCATAAATCCAAGATGCATGCCTGCATAGGTTGCAGTCTTCCACTGAATAACTGAAGGCACTCGAAGATTTCAAACACAGCTGCTTTTAAGAGTAAAATTTCCTCATGGCTCTTGGCTTTTGTTTTTCAAAGTGGCAGCCTGCCTGGCTTGTGGCTATACTGTCACTGGAGTAAGGAATTCTCACTAGAGCTGTCGCTTTAGGGGAAGGAGGAGAAGAAAGGGAATGGGAAGATATGTAGTTTGGAAAGTGAGGAAACACTGAGCCCTCATGCAAATTTTACTGAGTTTGTGTGCATTTCCAGAATTTCTGGGAAGGGCTTTGACATGTTGCAAGGGAAGTCATAACTTCAGTCAGTATGTACTGTGCAGAATGAACGAAAACTGGATTAAAAATCTGGAGAATTTTGCAGACTTCTTGACGGTTCTTCATGGTACCAGCTTTTTTTTTTTTCTTTTTTTTTTTAACATTGTTCTCGCTGTGAGCTACAAGGTCTGGCAGAACACAAATGAATTAGCCTTTGCCTAGCAACATCAATGAACAGGAGAAACTCACCTGGCTGGTTGAGAGGATGAATCGATTGCTTGTCAAATATGTCTCATCTGTAAATATCTCTGGCAGTTCCTTCAAGTGTTCCCGTGCCACCTCTCTGAGCCCTAGCAGATGATTGTCTATTGCCATTCCAGTAATAGCCTGTGTACAACATGATAAGACACCAGCATTTAACTGACTATAGAGACATTTCCTTGGCTGTGTCTTGTTTTCTGGTCAGAGTTGATGAACTTGGTTTGAGTGATGTAATGCCTGTAATGTTCAGATATTACTCTGATGATGTATTTTGCTGATGATCAGTATCTATAAGTTCATACGGTGCTCTGAAGATGTAAAAATGAGGAAGGAGATGGTCTTGATATGTATTATGTGCTGATATTATCTGGCGTTCCGGGTGTTCATAATCTTTCAGAGCTGATTATCATGGGCTGGGCTTCCAAAGCTGCTGAGGGGAGCATATGGGACACCAGAAATCTCTAAGTGTGTTTTGGAATTTCCTGTGCATCACTTGGATTATATTTCAAGACAGGAGACTCCAAAACACCTTCAAACTGGAACAAAATAATCTTTCATTGCCTTGCTCCCTGCGTCTCACTCTGGCAGGTAAAGCAGATGTCATTTCATAGAATTTAGATCCAAAGATCTGACAGATGTCTGCAACAGATCTAACAATGATCACAGAATAACAGAGATTTGCCAGTGGTCTATCACAGATCTACTAGTATATCCCACCACTCAAGAAGAGTGGGGTTAGGGACACAGATGCCTTCTCAATTTGATTCACTGCCCAAATATCCCAATTTCCCCCACCTCTCCCTGTGCTGGCTTCATTGCAGAGCTGGATTATGTCAGGAGCAGTCATTACTTTAACCCTCACTCTGGTGAGGAAATTGAAAACAGTAAGTGTAGGACAGGTACCATGAGTCTAGCATAAAATTAAGGTTTAGCAAAGGAGAATAATGTGCTTGACAAGCAAGAGACCTACAGCAGTCTACTTGCCATCCTGCTTGCCTGTGTCTCTGCTCACCATCATCCCCAGCGCAGAACCAGACGTGCTTGCCCCCAAACCCTGCTCCTGAGTGTCCCCAATTTCCTCTCCTGTCTCACAGTTACAGGCGAGGCAATGGGCAGCATGTGCAGGGGCTGAACGTTAGCAGCAGGGGGCCAGCTAGCCAGCTCACAAGTACTGCTGAGCCTGCAGGAAGTCTTTCTGCCATGAGCTTGTTATGCTTGGGTCTCTCTGCTCTATCCAGCTACATAATGCTATAGACTTAATGAATTTATTAGCTTTAAGATCTTTGCCCTGCTAGCAAATGTGATTGAAGATGGCTAACAGGATCAAAAGTCAGTAGTGGGAGACGGGCAGGCATGATAGTTAGATTTTTGTTTCTTTAGGAAACCAAATCAAAATTTGTTCCAAGGCAGGAATTGCCTCAGATTAAAATGTGCATTTAAAATCCTTCAGTCTAAATTTATTCTAGCTGGTGAAGAGCACTGATCATGGGGAGTGAGCTGTAGCTTGTCCCTGGTAACAGGCTGAAATCATGTAGGAAGAGAATGCTGAACAAGGGACATTGTACTGCACCAAGAGCAGAACTGATATCCCTGTGGCACAGGCCCCTTGTAATGAGGGAACCAAGCAACCTGAGAGAAGGCAGCACAAGCTTGGTTTTCCTCTTAAGGGGAGAATTAAAAAAAAAACAAAAAAAAAAAAAAGAAAGAAAAGCACAAGTTTGCTTTTCCTCTTATGAGAAGAATCATTTTAACCACTAAGTAGTGCCTGAAGAAGGGGGCTGGGAGTGCATAGTCTTACTTGGCTTATTAAGGAGTAGGCACCCATTGGTAAAGGGGCTATTTGCTCGTCAACCCAGACCGAGCAAGGATGCTTGCAAAAAAGTAGCATACATCAGGGTAGCATTTACATTGTTTTTCCCATAGAGGGGAACTGACTTGATAATCAAAGCAAATATTTTGCTATCACACAAGATTTATAAGGCTGTTAGCAATGACATTTTTGCAACATAGATCAATGTCATGTCTGAAGAGAGGCCGAGACAGGCTAACGAAATAAACTGTGAGTCAACGCATAGGAAAAAACTGTGCTAAATTGAATTTTAGAGCTCCACATTTAAGATAGCAATGCTACTAGTAAGCCCTAACAAGGGGAAATAAAATCATTAAATTGCTTTCTGTTTTATGAAGTAGATTTTTTGTTTTCCTTAGGAGCTATTACATTTCAGTCTGTTACACACAATTTAGTCAGACCATGTAAGTCTTGCCTATAGTTTAAAGGCACAGCAATTACATTCTGCTATTTTGAGAAAGAAAGGGGAGCTTGGTGAGTAGAAATACCTGGAGACCTTTTTAAATTTAAAGATAAATTAATTTTCTGATGGTGATTTTAATATTTTCCCATGAGCTAGAGTGGAGGCTGAATTTTATAACAGTTTCTGGAACTGAAATGATTTGGAGGGGGCATTTTATGGAAATTTGTTCTTTTTTTTTAAAAAAGAGATGTTGTTCAGAAATTCCATTGATTGTGACCTAGTAGACCTACACTATGTTGCATTAATTGTGAGGTTACCCTGAGAAGGTTCAGGTGACACAGTTGCCCTGAAGACTTGCCTCTGCTTTACAGACGAGGTGGAGTCTCAGCTTCTAAGATGTGAGTTCCCAGCACAAGGCTTGAAACACAAAACTGTTTTTCTTCCCTGTTTCTTTTGTTTCATGGTCTTAGGAATAAGTCCTGCCTGAAAACAACACATCACTTCTCTAGTGCTCTGAGTATACCTTTGAAACCACCTCTGGAAATTAATGATTTCTTTAATATTATGAATATTTAAACAGTAATCAGCAATGTGAATTTGTTAGGCAATGGTCTGAGGCAAAACCATAGGTAGCAAACTCACTTAACATAGCTGGTTATTAACATTTATTAATTTCATGAGTGGCTTAACTTAGGTTGTTTGTACAGTAAGTCTGTACTTTGTCTTGGCACCGTGGGATGTAGAACATTACCCAAGCTGAATTGTCTCATTTTTAATCGAGAGAAAATAAGTTGTGTTTGATACTAAACTGATTTCTTCACTGGAGGGCATCTCTTCCTTTTGTTAAACACTGCATTCAGGTCTTCAGAAGAGAACTTACTATAATAATTCCATCATTGTTGATGACCCTTATTAGAAATGGCACTTCAGAACACCAGAATACACTGGAATACCAGTCTGTCTGAGGATCAGGTGCCGGATAGGGACCTCTCTCTTCTAGGGAAGGGAAACATAAGTAAATGCATAAATGATTAATTTTAGGGGGTGGAAAAAAAGTTCCTGATGTGTTACAGCTGTCTTGAGCTTATCTGTAACGTTATAGCTTATGGGTCTAAGTCCTGTAAATTTGGGGGATCTGAATTTTGCAGCTGGAGTTTTCTCATGCATGATACACAGCAGTTAAGTTGGTTGCTTTTAAGCCTTGCTTACTTCTCATCCTGATAAGGTGCTCAGCTGTCCACTTGCCTGACTTCATTGCCACTTCTCTTGGCTATCTTCATGGGTAACATTTCATGTAGATCACAGAGCGCAGAGAATAAAGGCTTAATTCATTTGGCTACTGTTCTCCCTGGCAAACCTTTCAATATTTATTAAAAACCTTTATTACATTTTGATTGCAAGCTCTTTAAGATGGAGGCAATTTTTGAATTGCTAATTTGTATACCACCAATGTTAGTAGAATCCTTATTTGTGGCTGGGACTCCTAATTATGACACAGATATAAATCATAAATGTTTCACAGATGCACATTCCCTGTGAATATGTTGAATACAGAGTGTCATGTTCCAGGACAATTCCAGGTAAGAGAGATAATGCCCAAGAATGGCAGTTTTGCCACTGATATCTAATGCAGAATTTTGTTAGCTTGCTTTCCAGGAACTAATTTTTAAGTTGAGGTCAGTTGAACATGGCTATCTGGAGGGTGTTTGGGTCACTGGAAATTTTCATATGTGTGACACAACAGGTACATTCCTATTTAGAGATGCCTAGGTTTTCTGGTGCTTAAATAGTTAATGATTGTATCTTTGTACTTTTCTTGAAAAAACTAACTAGTCCTTATTCAGACAAAGCAGTGTTTTACTTACCAGAATAGTGTAATTAGTCTGAGCTGCAATTGCATCCTTAAATCTCTGCATCTTCTCAGAATCCTGTTGGGGGAATCAAAATATATTTGTTATTGAATAAACTCTCAAAGAAATAGCACCTTCCATCAATTAACCAGCAGCCAAACAGAAAGCACTCTCAAATGTCCTTTGCTTCTGGCTCACATCTCTTTATAAGTGAAAAGCTGTAGGGATTCAATGTCCTGATCAGTAACGGTACCTGGTTGTGCAGGGCTTGTACAGGTTTATTGGTGGTGGCTTGTCTGAAGTCAAGCAAAAACTTGCAGTTCCTTTCATGGATTCCTTCCATGAATTTTTTGGATGTAGATTATTACTAATTTAATCGTTCCATCTGAAGTAGGGAAAATAATTGCCTAGTGTAATTCAGTGTTTTCAAAACAGCCAGACAGTATATCTTCTCCAGAATGGTTTATCTAATGATAGTGATGTTAATGAAAGCCATTATTGATATTTTACAAGCCAGTCAAAAAATTACTCCCCTGTGTGAATCTGTGGGCATCTAGAATTTTCCAAGGCTGCTCTACCCTCCACAGATGCCTCACATTTCAGATAACAAGGTAATAAATTTTGACTCCTGTCAAATTACAACCTTTTATATTAAGGGAAAGATCCTAAGAAGTACTGCCCTGCTGTACATCAAGTCCAACACTGCAACTTTGGGAGACCCTGAAACAGCCAGAAATGACTGGGTCTCCAGATAAACAGGGAGCCTTCAGCTCCTATGGACGATGAATGATCTTTTGAACAAAGAATTAATTTTAGAAGCAATTCAAGGCCACCATGAGGGACCTTCAAAATACAGAGTCTGATATTTTTTCATAGGGCTAGAGCTAGGCCTTAGTTCCCTTATACAGATTAAATTACCAAATGCAGTCTTTAAATCTGATTAATTTACAGCTATTCAAGCAATCTCTGCAGTGTCAGTTGCTGCTTCTTTTACAGCAAGTGTCAAATGCATGAGATATTTCTCCTGCTAGAGAATCAATCTGACTCGATCAATCTTTGGTGATGGTTCATGCTATCATTTTTATTAGCATCAGATAGAAAATTGGTTTTAATTTGATTTGGATTAGTGGCTATTAGCAAACAATATTTTGGGGAGTTAAAGGCTACTTAAACCAGGTGATGCATCTATTTGTCCAAAAAGTAGAATTAACCCCTTCACACCCAAATGCAACCTGTAGGTCTAAAGAAATCACCTCAGAATAGGGTTGTGTTAAGTGAATTTTGTTTCTAATGATCCTGTGATAATAACATATATAGTTTTGAACTGAAGGATGAAGTTGTTCACATCAAAACACAGATTTATAAAAGTTCGTGGAAAAGAACAATCACAGGTGGGTTTAAATGTCCTTTACATCTCTCGGTGGACAAGAGGCCAGGAAAACTATCAGTGGATTGTTTTGCATTATGATGGCAGGTTTTTCAGGGGGAATGAAATCATTATTCTCCCTATTCACTACTGCCAAAGCATGCAATATAAAGATTTGGAGGCTGAGACTGAGCTCCCTCTAGACTTGCATGGCATTCTTTTGCTTGCTTGTGTGAAGCAGTACACTTTAGGATGCTGTGAAAGGTGGGAACAATCTCAGATTTGGGTTGTAAAATGGTGCAAAATGCTGAAGCTTTGAGAGAGCTCCAAAAGTCAGTAACTGTTGGAATAAGGAAGGTAGGAGGAGATTGTTGGAGGGAACAAGAAGGATCTGGCAAAACAATGTGCTAGAAGCAGGCTGGCTCCTCCTAGGTATAGTCAGCCTGCAGCAATGTGTGTTGGGGTATGCTGAACACCCAAGTGTGGAGGGGAAGGTGTGCATAGATGACAGCAGCTTCTAATGAAATGTGATTAGGAACTATGTTGTCTTCAGCAAAGAGAATTACTTCAGGTTTCCTCTGAGTTATCATTTTAACATGGAACTTATTTGAGTCTTGTTCATCATGAGCTAAGTTCTGGACATGGTAACCTAAGGGAGGAGACTGAAGAAGTAGTGGAGGAACAGAGCACTTCTCTGGACAGGTTTTCCTCAACCTCTGAGATATTGGAGCTTGGTTTACAATATTTCATTAATTTACACTTAATCTACAGCCCAGTAATACTTCTAGCAATGCTATGAGAGATTCTAAAGAACAGCCATGTGGGCTGTTGCCGCTGGAGTGGGCTCACTGTGCAAAACGATCTATATTGTGGCAGCATTTTGCATCTAAACAGCCACCTGGAAATTCCCTGTACAGCAGCGAAGTTCAGTGGGTGGAAGCAGCATACGGAGAGACGTTGAGGGAGGCTCTCCAGGGATGGTGCACGGGACAGTGCACAAAGCTGTTTGTGGAGCTATAGTCTCGGCTCTCTCAGCTGTACCTCTTTGTATCCCCATCTACTGTGTACAGTACTCAGGCTTCTGGCAAACAGATGGTGGTGTCTCAAAGAAAGACAATTAAATTTTTCTTTTTGCAGAATGATGTCAGGACTGTTTGGAGAGTTCTTTTATTAGCTCAATGAAGTTTTTTCATCATGAAGGTTCAGCCCCCTTGAGGATCCTATAAAACTAACTCCATTTGGTAGAAACATACCTTTAAAATGAAAAAGGTTGGCCAGAACATTTCCACCTTATCCAGCATGTGAATTGTATCACATCACACATTGCAATCTGCAGCAGAGCTATCTACTGCAGGGGACCTGCCAGCCAATTTCCCTGGTGTACCAGTATAATGATCCTGAACTTTGCATGTTCAACCTAGATCTCTCCAGGGAGCTGAATTTGGATCTGATGATAAGTTACCCAGAAGACAGTACTAAGTCTAAAATCAGATGGTTTGCTTCTTATAATGTCATGTTTAGGCCCCTCTGAATCTTTTGGATACTTTAATAAAAATGAGGAAATATTTGTATTTAGCTTAATGGTTGGTTTGCACAAAAAGCAAAATCCTGTAAGCCTTGCTACCCTGCCCTATGCCTTTGTTCTCTGTTAACAGTTAAAAAGTGAGAGATTGGGAATCATAAATGCATTATTTGCTTAGTGTTTTGCCAAAGAAGGAAGAGGGAGTCAGACCAACATACCGATAGAGCTGTCTTGTTATCAGTCATTGCCTTGACAAAAGCAAATGCTTCTGAGGTAGCAGACCTAATATTGTCAACTCTGCCCTCATCAAATCGGCGTATGGAAGCACTTTCGTAGGTAGGGACAAGTCTCCTGTGGCATCTGAGAGAATGAAGTAAGAAAAACAAAGAATAATTATTTTCAAGGAGTCATAAAGACCAAAAGAAATATAGGCCTGGTACGTTTTATTGTTACAGCCACGATTTTATTTTTTGCACAGTATTCATCTTAATGTTGATAGAATTCTATAAGAGACTTAAAAAAGATGGATGCTCATTCCTTTGTAATATGAGGAGTTGCATACAGCTGTGTACATTTTAGTTATGCATTGCTAGTAAAAAATGACTTGCTGTGTAAAAACAAGGCTAGTAAAACTAGAATTTACTGAAAGATCTCAAGGAATGTTTTATTTGTACTGCATCATAAAATAATTGTGTAATTAATCATTTACTTATGAGCTTGAAATATGTTTTATTTACAGCAAAAAAATGCACTCTGTGTATATATGAAAAATAGAAAACTAAAAGGGGATAAGGGTACTATTTGAGACTGAGCTGGAATTGAAAACCCACATAGGAAACAGAACAGAGCGTGAAGACTATTGTTTAATTTGGGTCTGGATATATAGCTACTATTCCTCGCTTCAGGAGACCTACTGTGCCTTCCAGTTGAAGCAGGGTCTCAGAATATAACTGTCCCCTAAAGGTTTTTGTTGGGATTTATATCATGGCTGGGATCCAGATGAAAATCTTGGACCAGGTCATTGTTGGAGTTTGGTTAATGGAATATGCAAAATGGATGTTTAACAGATATTAATGGAGTACGCAAAATGTGTTAGGCATCTCTGGTTTCAACTAGGAAAAGACCACTTCAGGATTTAATTTGACATAATAAAGAATTATTCGTGTTATAGACTGTTCTACAGGAAACCATACAACTGATCTCTAGCCTGGAGCATTAACTGTTCTGGCAATGTATAATGGAGCTTTTAACTTTGATAATACTATGGAAATTAGAGGATATTATCAAATCTTGGGATGTCTGTGAAGAAAGACACAGCAGTAGTTACTGTCCTGTGTAGGAACTCTGATCTGATATGCTGCTGTAGTATTTTTCCCTGTGAATGCTTTTTGCCCTGCAGTGTAAGGGATGCATATGTGGTAAGCTGTGGGCTACTGCCACAGTTCCTCCCAAGCTACCTGCAGGAGCAGGGGAGTTTTTCTGCCCCAGGGACTTGGACTCCCTAGCTGCTTCTGCTGCTGTGGGTGGCAGGGTTGTCTGCCACTCCCTGCCACGTCCCCTCGTGTTGGAGAATGGCTCAGAGACAAGGGTCCTGTGCCTTTAGCCAATAGATTGTAAGCCTGCATGCCTAAGTTGTGCCTTGTCATGTATTAAGAAAATCTTTGAACGAACGTTAGCGCAGGCTCTGCTCATACAAAAAGAAAAAGGGGAATTGTTGGAGAATGGCTCAGAGACAAGGGTCCTGAGCCCACCGAGCAATTGTACGATCAGAGCCTGTTCTAAGGGCTGATGCTGCCTCGCTGATGCTGGGCCTCACTAGGGTTTGCCTGCAGCTGCTCACAGCTGCTGATACATGAAGAATGTCAAGGACGCTTCAGCCCTGTGTACTGTGGTGTGTCAAAAACAGGTTAAGGGGAATTAGGAATAGTGGTCTGAGAAACCTAGTGTTATGGTAACGGTGGTCTGAGAAACATTGTGTTATGGTACTGTCGTGTATTGAAAACAAGTCAAGAGGAATTAGAAATAGTAGCATGAGAAACTTAGTGTTATGAGAAGCTTGTGCTGTTAGCTAACTGCAAGTAGGTGGACCGTGCGAATACGACCTTTAGAGCTTAAGCCAATCAGCTAGTGACTAGTAGGCATAATAATTATCATTGTCTGTATAAATATATGTACCCCGGACCAATAGACACACACATTGATTGATGCTCTATCTTCCACATTGAACCCGTCTCAGCGTGTCATTCGTCCGCGGCTCTGCACCCTCACCCTCTTCTCTGTGCCCAGCACAGGGACAGTTGTGGGGAGGGTACTGGCTGGGAATGGTGTGTGTGGGACATGGGGATGGGAAGGTAGAGCAAGGAGAGGGAAAGGGAGCTAAGGAAAAGAGTGTTCTGTCTCACAACCATGTGGCAATTTCTATCATGTCTGACCTACAGTCATTAGGCAAGATCACTCATTTCCATGCAGGAGGCATTTGTTTGGATGCTGAGATAAAAATGGACCCTCTGTATAAAAAACAAATTGTGAATCTCCTCTTGTGTTACCTTGTTCCTATGATTTGAATTAACCTTACCTGTAAAATGCCAGCTGCAGTGCTACTTGAATGTAGGCATCTGGGCTAATCTTTTGTTTCTTAATAAATTCCTTTCCATAGTTCTCAAACTTGTAGGCGATAAAGTCCAAATTTTCTACTATCCTGGAAAACAAGCAGAAGCAGTTACTGTGGGGGGAGGTGCAAGAATCTCATGTTTCATTTTCATTTGCAGGTAAAACCCAGAGATCACTTCCTGCCTGTACCCACTCAGAGGTGAGTGGGCTCCTGCTCTGCAGAGGCTCCTGGCCTTTGGTAACTTTTTCCTAGTCAGCAACTTTTATTAAAACAGCTTCTAGACTGGACTTGTTATCTGCAGCCTTAACATAAGCTGTGGCACTCAGGTCATTTGTGTAAAACTTTTTTTTTTTTTTTTCCATTAAAACCTGTTTCCACTCCTAAAGCCAAAGCCAGTGCCTCCTTTTTTCTGCTCTTGACAAACTTCTTTGAGATTTACTTGTGTAAGAAATGGATGAATTTAAAACCCGGTGAAGGCTGTAAACTCCTTGCAATTTAGAGGACTACTACCTTCATTTAAAAACAAAAAGGAATTACTCTGCATCCTGAATGTTTTCATATTGTCATGTATGGTTCTAGCCACTTTAAGGTTTCATCTAATGCAATCTTACCTTACTGCTTACATACTTACAGGTGATCATGCAGACAATATGTTAATTCTCTACAGAGAGATCACAGGCCTGAGTGTTAAGATGAAATAATTTGAAAACAAAACAAAACAAAACAAAACAAAACCTCTCATTGCCATCCCCACCCCCAAAGATCATGCAAATCTTTTACAGTCTGGAAACACAGTCAGAAAAACTAACCTTTGTAGGAGCAACATAGATGTAAACAAATTACAGCCCTGAATTCAAATTGCTTATTCAAACCAGTTGTGTTCTACTGTCCCATATGTGTATCCCCATTGCCCTGGCTTTGGCTTTAGTCAGGTCAAACCCGTAAAGACCATCCACAAAAACAGTGGACCTGCACTGTTTGCATCCTGTGCAAATAGGACTCAGGTGTTTTTCCAGTGGTCTTTAGCTTTCCCAGTATTTACATGGAAGGAAAAAAATGGCGATGCATTTCCTGAATACAGTGAAGTAGCTCCAGCCCATAAGGGTGCCATCCTGCAAAGACATGCTAGGTATGTCCAGCTTGCGAACATGAGGACAAGTGGGAGGGCAGGGAGAGCCCTCTAGGAGGAAACCCATGCCTGCACACAATGTACTGTGTAATTCCCAGCTTGCAGTCATTGTTGAGAAAAATGAGGCATCTGTTCTACCTTTGGAGTTTTTCTGCTGATGATGCCAAACGTGATTGAATTTCAGGGGAACATTTCCATCTTAGTCTCCGTGGAGCAGGAAGCTCGCTCACTGAATCAGCTCGGACTAATTTCTTGGAGCTTTCTTTCCTGTTAGTATGTGAGATAAAACTTATTAAGGTCACAGGAATAACCTATTTTTTAAACACTGCTTTTTTAGCAGGTAAATGACTGGTTTCCAACAGCTGTATGAGTCTCAGAGGCCCTGTGCTCCAGGGGGATTTTGCCGCTGGCAGCGGCTTCCCAGGGGCCAGAGTAGGTACAGTAGCTGTAAAGGGGACTCACATGTGCTTGAGCAAGTGTTCAGTGCACTGCACCAGTATGATGCCATCGAAAGGGGAATGCTCACACACAGTACCACAGACGCCATCTCTTCCTACCACAAACTAAGCAAGGAAAAGAGCAAGTGAAAGATATATAGCAAATAAATCATGTTCTGGGTAAGCTACCTATGATGGCAAACCAACAAAAGATGTCATTCTCCTATGGTTTTCTTATTGCTCACATCATGAATGTCGTTGACTTACAGATCAGTGGGTGACTTAAAGATTTATCGTGGGAGACTTTCTTGTCCTGTGAACGGTGTTGCATTGGATCCCTTTCATACTGCTATTTTGGACCGAGTCCTGCGAGAATGTAAATTTTTAGCATTTCTCATTTAGACTTTTCCCCCTACTTCTTTTGAAGTGTCTTTAGCTGGACTTCTCCCACTCAGCTCACTCAGTGCATTTGTATCATGCATATGCATCCTGCATCCCTGGTTCCCATGTGGTTTTCACAGAGTAAGTGTGTGATGCAAAAATTTTACCTGGATGTTTTCTGATGTCTTATTGCAAAGTTGAAGAAGAATATGGAGAGAAAGAACAAACCCTATTGTGAGAATGACTTCCTAAATAATCTGTGTTTGTATGAAAGAAAATGGGATCTTTTTTCCCTAAGAATTTCTCTTTGCCTTTGAACTACTTCTGGCCTGAATACATCTGGACAGATGAAGTTCTCCAATACACTATGCAAATATTTTTGCTCTCTGTTACCTTCTGATAGTAAACAAACAAAAAAAAATTCTTGTTTATTATCATCTGCTTGAAACATCTCAACTAGTGGCCCTGTAAATAACAGAGGATTCTAACTAAAGACAAATGGTTTGTTCTTTAAAGACACAGCACTGGATTCTGCTAATAATATTATTTGCAGTGGCATAAATCAGGAATGACTACTGAAATGCATTTGCACTGGGGTAAGGCAGTGCAAGTGAAATTAGTTTAGTGTTTTTTTTTTTTTTCATTTTGCTGTTCTTAGATATGGCAAGAACAACAAGCATTGAGCAAGTAATGTATCAGGTTTTTTTAATTTTTCATGAGGTGTCAACATTGTTGACAGTTGGAGATTAATACATTGCTTCACCCTGGGTTTATTACAAAACATGAAAATAACAGTGTGACACTTTCAAATATGACAATCAAAATCTGATTGGGAAAAAGGTTGGAGAAACCACCGCTTCCCAGAAAGCCTCAACAAGGATGTCATTAAATGAGTAAACAGTCTGTTAAGTGAGAATTTAATACTAACTTAAACACATGCTAAATTATAAGCAGCAGTATTTCTAGGATATCAGGAAAACGTATGAGAAAACAGAGAAAGCTATTGTGCCTTTCCTTATTGTTCTGGGGTGCTAGTCCAGCACTTTTATTTCATTTGATTGAGTGTAATTTTTTTTTTTAAAAACCACGTCTACCTATCTGTGTACTTGTCTACCTTCTCAAGTGCAAAGGGCAACTTCAGGGAAGGGGAAAGCATAACCTGTGTTGGAGAAGGCCCCCCCACTGCCAGCAAGGCGGTAGGTCTGCTTTCCCTGCCTTGCGAGGAACAGTGCTGCTCCCACCAACCCTGCCTTGACAGATGCTAACACCACCCTCCCCTCTTTCTCCCACTTGATTCTAAGTGGTCCCCACTATAAGGGCAACTGGAGTCCCTTGCCATGTTCAAATAATATCACAGTACTCTAAGGTTTTTTACCTGCATTGGTTTGTCATACCACCGATTGGCCCCGTTTTTATGGTAGCCTCCCCCATGCAGCAGCTGCAATGCCATGTTTGTATCATTGAGATCCACCCCGCTTGGGCTGTCCAGGCACACCAGGCATATGCACCGTTCAATCATGTCAAGAGAGTCGCGGTTAGTAGAGTCTGGAGATAAAAGAGTGAAATGTTCACATCCTCTTACCTGTAGTGCAGGACTGGCTGCAGGACTGGCTGGGGAACCCTGCTGCCTTGGAGAGCATGGAAGATCTGACCCTGGCTCTGCAATGAGCTGGTGTCTGCAGAGCTCTCTCAACAGCAGAACAACTTGGTGCAATGAAATGTTACACCAAGGCATTCATTCATGTGTTAACTTTTGCAATATCTCTGTGTATCTTTCATATGATTCAATAATATCCACTTTTTTTTTCTGCCTTTCATTTCCTGAAGTAATTATATTACAAAATAGATCTGTTTTACTCTTAAAGCCAGCAATGCTTACTTATTTTATATATAACAGTTACAGAGACGACAGGTGGAAAATAGAGAATTTCAGAGCTCATGCTATTGCTGCAGTGCTGCAGTATTCTGCTCTAGAACAGCAGACCCTATACTGGTTTTAGGCTGTTCTCCCATTAAAACCCTTTTCTGGACCAGGAACAGCAAGGCCAATGTTGGTTTTGTGTTCTTGTATTAAAACCCTCTTCTCTCTCCTGACCCCGGTCATTTCTTGTACTTTAGAGGAATAAGCTCTGGACTGGGTATATTGCCTACATCACATGAGGAAACATCTGTGCATGAGGTTGTGAGCATGTGGCACATGTGGCAACATGGTATTGCCAAAATCATGGGTTGCCACATTCCACTTTCCTCCTACCACTAGTGTACTGCTGAATAAAATGTGCTTTTTTCTGGATCTCTTTCTCTGTTTCTTTTTCCTATCCTGTCACTCTTGCTTCTACAGGTGGACTACAAAGGCTATTTTAGCGTTGTCCTCAGTGCATTCATCCTTATTTATGGCATATTTATGCAGGGTTTTTTCCTCAATTTCTTTAACTCAGAAATATTATGAAGGCAAAGGTTTGTTTGCTTCTTAGGGCCAGTTTGAGGAATAGGAAATATTTAATTGTGACCACTTAATACAGCTCTTAATTGAAAAGATAAAACTGTGGAACCTATAACAAGAACTTGTTTTATTCAAAAACATATAACATCATTAATTACTGTTAAATGGTTGTTAACAAGATCAAAGGAAAAAAGGGCTTTCAAACATCAACTTAAAATTCTCTCCACTTAACAGATCAGCTTTCATCTGCTGGCTTTGCTAGATTTTGTTTCAGAATGTTCTTAACTAAATCTATGAATTCAGATTGATCAAAACTTCTTGCAAGTCTGTGATAAGTTTAACAAATCTGTGCTCAATTCAGGAGATGAATCTAGCTGAAAGAATGGAAAAAATATTTAAAACAATTCTGATTTTCACTTGAAATATGGAGACATTTCAAAATGTGCATGTTTTTAATGTTTGCAAATATGAAAAGTAGCTTGATCCTCTGAAAGAACAGCATTTTTCAAAATAAGGAAAAATGTACCTTCCCAAAATGAGTAACATAGGTTAGTGAAGAGCTAGAAAGAAACCAGATGCTTGTTATCATCCAGGTTCATTCTTCAGATATTGCGTAGTAAAAAAGAGCACAAATACTCAAGAAATGAAAAAGGTGTCAAGAGAAGGAGAGGCAAGTGATGGCAGTGGCTGAGAAGGAAGTGGGGGAGCTGTGGCCTCTTGCAGGTTATGGCAAGGTGCTGTCTATTGCTGTCTGGCGGCTCCTGCGAGACATCATTGGCAGCCATGGGCTCGAGTGACAGGGGTGGCCAGCCTGGCTTCTTGCAGGCTGCTTTGGCACCTGGTGGAGTGCATAGTGTGTTGTCTTTCCTTGCCCACAGAAGCAGAGTCCTAGGGAAGGCACCTGGCATTCCTGTCAGCTCCTCCAAGGACATGAGCCAGGAGATTGTAATTGATGGAGCATGTAGATAGGTTGAGCTTTCTGCTGGTGATCTGTGCCGTCCCACAGCAAGTGAAACACTGATGTGCCTATTAATTGTCTTCAAAAGCATTCAGAAGCTTTATAAGGGAGAAGACATGTCCCTGTCCACTTGGCTGTAAAGTTATTCTAGTATTTGACACTTTCAGGGCTGACCATAACTGTGGTATTTATTCCACTGGTGGTCTGGGTATATCAACGCAGAGGCTGAAAAGATCCTTGTGAATGGAAGTTGCCCCATGTACATCAGCTGCTGGTATTTGTGGACAGGCACCTTTAAGGAAAAACTGCTTGGATAGCGGTTTACAAACTGCTCACAGCTTGCTCAGCATTCTGCTTTATGTTGTCTGATAGGTTTATATATATTTCATTGTGGCTGCTGCCCACACATCTTTGACAGATATGAAGCCCTTTTTCTGACATATGGCCTCAGGGTATCTTGAGTCTAGGTACTAGAGTGAATAAAATTAAGCTCTGCTAGAAACAGAAAAATAGGGGAAAGATGTCCTTACTGAAAGAAACAGACAGGTCCAGAGAGCTGATCAAACACTGAAAAAAATTACCATGTAAAGCAGGCAATGAACTGCACAAGAACTCATGAACCATAACTTGGGATGGAAAATAAGTATTTCCAGAAAGAGCTGAAACAGAGGAAAAGTATGAGAACAAGCCTAAAGCCCTGCAAGACATTTCTTGTCCTTCTCCCTTTCTAATGCACACAATTGCATTGAATTGGCCAGTCAGTTTTTCATTAGTTGTGGTTTTTGGTTTTAGAAGACAGTTCTGAATCAAAATCACGTATAGTATGCATGGGACAGCAGCCCCTATAGCAGTAAGAATTATCTGCCTGTACTTGGGAGAGTGAGTTAGTTTTGCAGCCTGAATGCAGTTAAAAAAACTGAATGTGTTTATAAATCAGTGATGGCTGGTTTTATTACAATTTCTTTGAAATTTGCTCACCTAGAAGACCTATCCTCTACTTGTAGGTCTATGCAGGCCCATGTATGTACCTCCTTCATAACCTCTGCAAAGCACTGTATAGGTCTCCTCCATCCCAAAGCATCTTCTCTTTCTCTGCCCAGTACAGAACAATTGTGGAGTGACCCCTTCCACCTCACACTGTTTCACTAGAGGCTTTTCTCTTCCTCTGTTAGTTATTGTGGCATCAACATTTCACCACAGATAAGAAAGAAAAAATGGCTTTTAATAATAATGTATCCATGTGTTACAGCAATGCATTTTACCATATAGAGGAACTGTGCTAATACACAGCTAGGATAGGACGGTCTAGGATGGGATTCATGCTTCGATTAGAGAAGTCTGACAGCACAGTGCTGTGATATTTGCTAGTGCAGAATCTGTTTTTTTCATCTGCATAACTGAGTTGGTTTGCTTCCTCATTAAAATGAGTACCTCAGCAAATGCCAGGCAATCAAAAAACACTATAGAGATGGTTCTGCTAGTTTTTGTTATTTTTCTTTTTTTCTTTAGGATGATGTAGGTTTACAAAGATGATTTTGCTGCAGGTTTCAAGGTATTCACTATTTTTCTTAAAAACGTGGCATGAAGATAAATGATTTGGTGTTTATCTCAGTTTTAATTAAAATGCGGAATCTTTTTTTCTCCTGCTTTAAAAGTACAGGGAGGGGAGGAGAAAGCCTGAAGATGAGACTGGTACCATGTAATAATGCTGTAATAATGGCCAGGACACTTTGTGTATGTGTGTGTTTATCTATATAAAGTTATTATAAGCACAGGTAAACTTGAATAAGAAAAGGGAAGATCTTCCTTGGGATGGTAAACACATTTTGAGACTATTGGCAACTCTTGTATATTCCAGGGAATCAGTAAAACAGCAATATTTTCTGTAGCACTGCTGAACTGGGGATAAGGAGATGAGTTAACATTTTTATCAGGAGGGAAAATGAATACCTAAGTCATCTAAAATGGCAAAAAGGAGGATGTTTACATCACTTAGCTTCAGGGTAAAATATATAAGGTGTGAAGTGATATAAGTGATTAATTCCACCCTTTATTTTCATCTATTTCAAAGTCAGGCATTTGAGTATAGAATCCAAGACAGCTAAATGCTGCCTGTTGTTGGAAGAGAGAGAGTGAACTATCCCCAGATAAGTGGTGTCACCCTTCCTAGATACTTACTTAAGATTTGGATGAATCAGCCCTGGTACCTTCTATTTTTCTCCATTGACTAGAGAGAGTACACAGCTAGATTCAGTAGGTGTTTAACTTGTCAATGCCTTTGTTAGATTAGATGAAAAACGTCTAATAGTTGCCAAAAGCTAAGATGATACATCATTCCTATTGGTACAAAATGGATGTAAAGAAAGAGACAAATCACAAAATCTGATGTAATGTAATTTATGTGATGAAAAGCAGAGAATGGAGTGAGAGCTATTTACATGGTGTAACACTTAAACATACACAGCCAAAGGGTCAAACTGTATCTGCTGCTTCCCTGGAAACATACATATGAACAGTTACAGGTATTGAGTTTCCTCCTGCTAGAAAGATTCAGCAGTGAGGTTGCACATTCAGTCCTGTATTTTCTGTAATGTTCACTCCCAGCAAAGAAAAGCAATGATGGTGAGGAGGAAGAGGAGGAAGATGATGAAGAAGAGAAAGCTGGGATTGCTGCTGCTAACCTTTCATAAGGATTGTCCTGGCCTCTGCCCACTCTGTTCTTCCATCTGTTGTCAGCAGGCCAATGGGAGGCAGCATTTCCTCTTCATTCTCTGCCATTTTGGCTATCTTTCGTAACTGAGTGAAAAGATCTCCCTCACTGAGACGACGGAAATTAATGACAACATCCAAAACAAAAAACTGCAAAAAAATGACAGAAGTCAGACGAACAGTCACAGATGGGTTGGGCCCTTACTGGTCCAACATTTTGCTTTCGCCTTGGTGAGTGTTGAGATGCTGAAGTCCTGCCTGGAGAACCAGGTCTGCAGTCAATGGAGCACTAAACCACTGAGGACTGGCCCAGTGCTCATCCCTCCTGTGTTTTTACACCAGTGTAATGTCAGTTGCTACAGGGGACTTATATTGTGTGTTGGGCTCAAATAAAACATATATTATTTGAATAAGATTTAAAAAAAACCCTGAAGAGATAAAATCAGGAAGTATGCAAATAATTTCCATGGTATTATTTGTCTAAAAATAACCTGGAGAATCTAGAGAACTTCCTGTTGAGGTGAAGAGCAGGACTTCCTGGGAAAGGGACCACTGGGATCCACCCCTTCATTCCAAGGAGGCCTGCAGGCATGGCTTCAGGACTACAAATAGTCAAGCCGGGCTATAAGGTACTCTGCCCGGCCAATATACCCTGCTGCTTGATGGCATTTATCATTTGGGGCAGATTCACTCTAACACTTCAGTATTTCTGCCTGCACCTGTGCTAACTTCTTCAGGCATAGTTTAGGCCTCCTGCATGGGACGGTGGTATATATGCCACGCGTTATGTGCCAATACTTGACTGTCAGGAGAAGAGCACTTCCAGCAAATGCACTCTAGTAAGATTTTTTTTCCTCTGTGGTTTCATCTCTGTTTAATAAACATTTTTGTTCAAATGAGAAAGCAAATGAATTCTGCCACATTCCTCCTTTCTGCATGACTGTACTTGGAACATAATGTGGGCTAAGCACAAAAATGCTGCAGAAGCATCTTTTGGAAGTATTGACAGTGAATGCTTGGTAAGATGTGAGCCCATACGTAGCACACTAATTGTGTTTCTGAACAGTGATTATATTAGGCTTTTCTTGAATGAATTTAAGCTAACTAAGAAATATAGAAAGGTATAAAAAAGAACACTCATTTACCTGATTGTTACAAGCAACAATGATGTGTTCTGGTTCTGGCATTACACTGCTTTTCTGGGCCACGAGGGTATCTTTGGTATGTCCTGGAAGACGATAGGAAGAAAAGAGTCCATAGTATTGCTTCATACAGAGAGGATGACCAGACAGCTGTCCATGAGCAAAATCAACAGGTAAAGCATGGCTGGAGAGAGAGAAGAAAAACAAAGCCAGAGGAAAAGAGGGGAGAGAGGGGAGAGAGAGACAGAAAGGAAAAGAAATCTAATCTGTCCTTTGTTCTGTTACAATTAGATCAGGTATAACACAAATTGAATAATAAAATGAGATTACAGTATAAGGGAAATAAATGAATTCCCATACCAAAGTTAAATACATCATTCCTGGCAGCTTCATGCATATTCATTAAGCAATTGCATTATCATCTAGTGGAAATGGAAGGAATAGCAGGTCACAAGCTGCTTTGCAATGTGTGTGGGAAGCCTGTCTAGATGGGACCTCAGAAACTTGCCAGGACAGAAGTCAGCCAAACAGCTGGAAAACAGACAGCACCTTGAAAAAAAGTACTGATGAAATTCAGTGCAAATCACAGTGATCCTGTACTGTGTAGAGTGTGCGAGAGGGCCTTGCCTGATGAACACGGACAACTGGGGCAATACAGAGAGCATTTCTGTGTTCCATGGAGCCTCACTTATGTGCTAATCCTTACTTACACTTAGAGGGGAGTAAGTACTGAAAACCTGTTCTCTTTTTATTGGGAGGCATGTGAAAACAATACCTCCTAAAAGGCTTCTTTAGTGGTCAGAAAACAAAAAAAGAAGTTATCACAGTTATGATTATGGATTGTAAAATATCCCACTGACACTGCAGCAGGAAGTAATGGTGCTGTCGCTCAGGAGAGGCTGCAGAGACCACAGGAGGAAGAAGATCTTGTGGTGCAGAGATTTTCCCTCAGCAGGAGAGGACTAAGCTTCCAGCCTGCCAGAGAGGGGCAGGGTCAAAGAAGCACACAAGGACAGTTATTGTCATACAGCTGATATGGGGTAATGTTTTATGCTTGTTTATCTTGTTTAACTGTCTCTTTAGAACTGGTGCAGTTCTAAACCTGGGCTGTTGGCTTTGGTTGCTGGCTCTCAAACTCTCCATATCACTTATTTCCTTGTACAGGTACTTAATTTTTTTGTTCCTTATCAGCAAACCAGGGCTATTAGTGTTCTCTTTCTCCCACATTTTGCATAATGCAGAAATCTGCTTATATTTAACAGTTTTAAAGAGCATCTATGATGATCAAAAATAGCAGAATAGCATGGTAGATTTAGATAAGACAATCTCTAATTATAGCAGTTAAGAAAGGGGTTATTAACTCTGACTGATGGCACCAGAAAACCTTGTTCTGGTTTAGGACATGTCTGTGTAAGATCTCATAACTCTTTTGTGAGCAGGTTAGGCTTTGTTTGAAATATTTAGTCCTGGCAACTGCATAGATATCTGCACAGTTAAAACTAAACGCCTGGGTTTGGACTGGAATATTGTGCATCTGCATGTGTGATGATGCTTGGAGAGAAGCTAGCAGTACACTCACTGGTAGAAGTCCTTACCAGCAACAAGAAACTGAAAATGTTACAATTACAGTGTCCTCATAATTAAACAGGAGGGGTGATAAGCAAACAGTAATAACCATATGAGGACACAGTAGTGAAGATTTCAATTATTATTGATTTAAGGCAAACAAACTGATCACAGGAGCCTTTGGATTTAGAGTAGTGAGGTCAAATTAATAAGAATTTAAATTATCCTTTGTTTGAGCAATGTGGTTACTTTCTCATCTCAGATGCTGTCATATAGAGATGCAATGAACTACATTAGCATGCAACTGTACTCCACCACATGCCAGTGCTGGTGTATGCAGTTGCATGGCATATCTTGGACAAAAGAACATGTTCTTAAATAAGTACGTCTTCTATATTTTTGGAGTAGCTGTTAGACTTTTGAAATAAAAAATAAAACAGCTTCTTCCTCTTTCTTTTATCTAACCCATAGACGATAGGGACTTTGTTGTTTGAATATGGACTTTGCTTTCCTCATCCAAATAAGCATTGGTTAAAGCCTATCACATAGGCCTCTTGTATTTCCAGGCAGAAAAATGACCCCTTCCCTACTATGGTGTGGTGTCCATTGTGCTTGGCTCTCCACTGTTTCTATTCTTACAAGCAGTAAACTTGGAACATAATAGGTGAGGTTAAGAAGTGCTATGTAAAACACCATTATGAGCCACCTCATACATGACTTAAAGAATCACGGATTTCCCCTATATTTATATACAGAAAGTAACAATGGCATAAGTAACTTCTTATTTTTACTAGCCACTGAACCAGCCTGCCTGTGATGAGGCTTCCTTCTCCTGGTAGGATGTGTTATTTCTGTTTTGGTGGGAGGGAGGCAGGCAGGCTGATGTTCTAAGTGGAGGGTGCAGTACATGGAGGGGGTACAGCACCCTGCCAGGTATCTGGTGCCAGGGAAGGTGTGAAGGCTGTGTAACTGCAGTGCTGATGCGATTTGGGTCTGGGGAGCACAGGCTTCCTGGTGTGTCCTCAGTAGCTCTGTTAGGCAGATTGTGTGTGTCCTTTAGGCTGCACAGCGCATGCTAGAGTGATGACTACCAGGCATCAAAAATGATCCTTCCCCAAACTGTTAGATTGGAGTAATAAAGCAGAAAGTGCATAAAAAAAATGCCAAAGTGCTTGCACTGAAACATGCTGGAGCCCCAGCCCTTCCAAATGGTGGAGAGCTGCAATGCAGCCTGACTGTGGGCATGTTAGAGCACCCTTGAATCAGAAGCCCTGCGGGTACTAAAGCAGCAGAAATTCTTTCAAGTTACTTACTTGTCCAGTAAAGCTTTATAGTCTTGCACTCCTGAAATGAGATTGGCGGCAAACCTGCAAGTAGCAGATAGAAGTGACATCAGTCTTTTGTCATTTCGCAATGCTGGGTTGTTTCTGAGAGACAGAGGAGAGCCCGAGTGATTGATGACACAGCATAAGGAGAGGAAGTCTTCTGGCTTGGCAAGAAGAGCCCCTGCCCCCACCCACAACCTAAATTAATTCATGTCAAGAGAAATATGAAATCCTAGAGATGGTCCCTTCAAATGGTTAAACAGACTACCATAGGAGGAAGCCCGAAAGAATTTATTTAGAGAATGGGAGCAGAGGCTGAATATTTAATAGAATACTTAACATGGGTTTCAATATCAATACTCATAAGCTGTCCAATTTATTAGAGTACTTCCTGTCCTAAGCAGATATTTTTTCTGCAGAGCTGTGGACAGGTATTTGCACTGTGTCTAAATGGGAGGCTCTGAGAAAAATATTTCCTTGTTAAAGCATGTGCATTAGAAAATGCAAAGTGGAGGTTTTTTGAAAGCTGCGTGCACAATAAATTTAGTCAGTAATGAATGGGAGCATTTATAGCTATGTTTAAAGTAAAAAGATACATTGGCTGTCTATGCAAAATGTTAAAATAACACATATTGGCTTCAAGGTTCTGGCTGTTTTATAATAGCATAAATTCACATGCTTTCAGTAATGAGCAGCTAGAGAGTGCTAAAAGCAAAGAGGAAAATTGCACTATATGAAGGTAGATTTCATCTGGTTTACTGTTTTAAAAGGAGAAAACGTTTTGGCAAAAGCTAAAGAATGGAATCCTGCTTTAAGGGTGTCTGGAGGGGTATATTCCATGCTTGGCTACTTGCTTACCTTTTCACTTTTTAAATGATTGTAATTGCTCACAACAGCTCAAAGGAGAAAGGTCAGTTCAGGGCTAGGAAGGATGGGCCTGAGGAAAGCAGTGTTCTCGGGGAGGAATGATTTCTGAATTCTTATTCTTAGATCCCCTGTGTTTCTGGTGCCCTTTTGGGTACCTGAGAGGGACAATTTAAGGCCAGCATGGCCTTTTCTGTTTGCAGGGTGGCTATGAGTCATAGCGATGGCATGTTAAAGACTGTTTTACTTTAAACAATGTGTCAGAAATTAGTATTTCTCTTTTCCATTGCAAAATGGTTTTCTTGAATTATACAATTAAAAGCTTTGCAAAAATTCCCTTAAAAAGTTATAAATCCCATGGCATTTTTTTTTCCATGCAATCAGTGTAATAGTAATGACACTTTCATTTCTGAGTATCAGTATAAGTAACCCCAGAATCACTGCCCTCAGTCTGCAGGACTAGTAGGAAATCATTTAATGGTTTCAGCCCTTATATTTTAATGAAAGTTGATTGTCTTTTTTCAGAAGCAGTACATTTAAAATACCCTTTCATTTAGCAAAATCTGCAAAGTTGTAGTACATTACCTCAGCTGGTCATTTACATCCTTGAAATACTGACGAGCAAAGATAACTGCTGGGCTAGAATTGACTGGAAGAGCTAGCCGGTTGTTGAGGTACATGTCATCCAGCCAGTAGTTAAACACCTAAGGGAAGGGGACATGAAATCTTAAAGCTATGAACAACATGAGGAAAGGAAGTCTGAGGGTGAGAGGAGAGTGCTTGGTGCTCCTAGTGTCAGGCATGGGCTCTGATTAATGGAGCTGCTGAGCATTTTCAGTCTGGGCTCTGTGACCTCAGCTCAGCTGAAATCAGCCACAATTCCATAATCCTATTTTTCAATCAATGGCAATTTACAGTGTGTTCCATTAAAAAGTAAACAAGCTCCATATTGTGGTGGTTTGGGTATTTTGTTGTTTGCTTCTCTCTACGACAAAAAAATGTTTGAGTACAGCGTGCTAACTTGCTGACTCTTGAATAGCGATTGGGACATATTTAAGAAATGGACAGAATTTTACTAGTGATGGTTTTCCTCAGGGGGCCTTAAATATTTGTCAGTGATGCCAAGATGCTCTATTGTTAGCCATCAGATACTGTCCTGTAGCAAGATGGAGTGGGAAAGAAAATTTCCCGAGCCTAATTGTTTGGTCCTGCAGATACTGGCATGTGGATGGGGCCCCTGGAATTCCTTCTGTGTCCACTGACACAAATGCAGATTACGGATGCTTGACCCAGACAGACACACATATTAAATTTCTAAACATTTTTATTGAAAATACATATGTATGATATCTGCATTCCTTTATGTGTGAGTAGATTCTGAAGAATCATTATTTGGAAAATGGAGGCTTTCATAAAAAGATCGAATGGTCTTTCTGAATTTAGTGGGCATGCTTTGCATATAGTAATATAAACAACAACAAAATTATGCAAAAATAATTATGAATGCATGCATCAGTTGAAAAAGTTTTCCTCTGAGATATTTCATTGCTGTTAGAACAGATGCTTCCCCCACAGTCTCTGGAGTCTTCAGGAGAACAGGCTAGAGCTGTACTCCTGGCAAGTTAAATTCCAAATAAAAGCATTACTAGTTTATTTTAAGAATCGGGTATTTAATTTTAATAACCAGTATTTAAAGTTGAGACGTTTCAGAAAATGCTTATACATGTAATTTTCATGCTATAGGTGGGTAAACGAACAGTTGTCTCCTGGAACACTATTTGTTATCAGGAACACTATTTAAGTGATGGTTAATTTAGCCACCAAAACCATGAAGTTCTATGATCAGAATAACAAAACGAGATTGAGCAGCATTTAGTGGAGCCCTCAGACTGTGGCAACAAGTAGTTCAGAAATTAAGCACTGCTTTTAAAAAAGCACTGCCAGTACCGTAGCCTTTTTTTCTGACTATAGCAACAATTTGATAGAGTTTTCTTGTGGGTCACAAAACTGAAAAATTAAGGTAGAGGCACACTTCAGTGACATCAGTAGGAAGCCTGCAGGCTTTCGCGGAATCCATGAAACCATTCAGTGTCTCTCGTCCCTGCTGGGATGGAAGGACTTCAATAAAATCAGTTTCTAGTTCTCAGCTGCCATATTCTAACATGGTTAATGCAGGCAGGATGAACTGTGACTCTGTGGAATGATAAAATCTATTTTATCTATGGCTTATTTAATTTTCCTGTCTTGGGAAGCAGAAAGCTGGACTTTTTTAAAGGCTGAGGTTTCAGCATGGTTTATGTGATATATATGTGTACATATGTGTGTGCCTATGCAGCAAAGGGAATATTTCAGGATAACTACATTGGCATGGTGTGACAATGAATGGCAAATAATAATTTAATTTAAAAAGAGTAATTCCTATCCTAAAGTATTCCATTCCAGAATAATTTGACTGTATCAGAGCTTTGGGTAGATGGGTATACAAGGCATTTTCTATAGCCTGCTCAGAAAGCATTTTTCATTTTAATAAAAACTCTAAATCCTGTTATTAAAGTGAAAGGAAGAAATTACACCCCAAAATGGATGTAATATAGTGCTTCCTACAGGTAGTGCTGACACCTGTGTGCATGCACCTGAGATGCATGAGTTCCCTCATTTATGTCAACAAACTGTTGACCTGAAAATGTAATAATGACATGGATTTTGACATAATTTGAAAATTCTAGCCTAATATGTCTGAAATATTAATTCCCTTTGGTAGAATCTGATGTGACCCATTTGCATTGACCCACTGAAAGAAAGCAGTGATCACCTACAGAGTTTATAAATGAGCATCATCCAACACTGCAATTATTTTTCTCATCTGCATTTGCTTACCCAGTTTGTTGTCTTTTCCCTTCTTTCCTTGAGGATTTGCTGCAGAGATTCCCCCAAGCCTCCTGCCATTCCAAACTGCTCCACAATGACCTTGGTCTTTCTAAATTGCTCCTCTGGAACCAAGTGTTTCATGCACTGTAGGTACATGCGTAAGGTCTGTTGCAGTGGTGGGACTGGAAGTTTTGGCACTGTCTAATCATAAAAAAAAAAAAAAAAAAAAATTAGCAAGTAATTCTACTTGCTCCCAAACTGTCCTCTTTTTTTTTTTTTTTTTTTTATTCTGTTGCTGATTAATATATTGCATCCCTTCTTAAATCCATTTATTCTGTTTTATCAGTTGAGATGCCTGATTTCTGCAAGTGTAATTGTGTGACTGCAGAGGGCTTTCATTAAGTCTTAAAATGCCTTGATTTTAGGACATAGTATGCAGTTGTATGCAACACTGAGGCAGTGGTATCTCTCCAGTAGCTCTATTTATAGGCCTTTGACCGATGAGGATTTCAAATGGATAGGTCAGGAAGCTAGTGGAAAACAGGAGAATATTCTGTGGTAAAAATTCTAGAAATTCTAGGGCAAACAGGCAAATAGGCATGATGCAAGCATATAGTCCGAGCTAGACTCTATGAAATCTTCAAATACATTAGAGCAAAATAAAATAATGCATTAGGAGAAGGTTTTTCATTAGTAAAGAAATACACTTAGCTTGTGATTAGTAAAACTGTGGGTTAATACTTGTCTGATTAGTAGTATGACTGGTTATAAAATTGCAGAAATAGAAAATGTGCAGGTCTGCCCATTTATTAGCACTGACTACATACAATCCTCAATAAACCTGTGTTTCACTCTGGCAGACCTCTGCCATCAGCCAGTCTGGGACCCTCCTAGAAGGACTGATAAAACATTTCTGTTTATACTTGCTTTATCCTTATCCTGTTTGGAGCAGAAGACCAATAGTGTCTGGGAAGAAAACAATCTCATGTTGTCCATGTAATTAAGCTTCCTTTGTTTTTTAATGTAGAATTAACCAAGTGAAGTGTAATTAGTCATTTAAAACCCAGAGAAATTATGGGGGCAGTGGGAAAATCAAGCAAGGATGTAATCCATGAAAGACTGGGAAATTGCAAGAGGCTGTGATGCTCTAAGCATGGTTCCTCAGGGAGGAGGACGTGTCTCCCAGTTGAGAAACTGTCATCTAATTCAGCTGTGCTTGTCCATTAGTGGTTAGTGTAGACCATAAACTTTTGCAGGGTTTATTTCTCTATTTTATTTTTGCCTCTCTCCTAGAGCAGGTAAAGTTCAGGTTTTTTAACTAGCTCTTGATGTAACAGACGTTCACTTTCACAGGGTTGCAGGACCATAGCGTGATTTCGGTTGGAAGGGATGTCTGGCAGTCACCTAGTCCCACCTGCTCCTCAGAGCAAGGCTAGCTGCAACCTCCTTTGCTAGTGCATGCAGGCAGGGAGGGGGTGGAGGAAGAGCTCTGAACAGAAGGCAGGAAGTGAGTGTCCCCTGAGCTCAAATATCAGTGCTGCCTTTTGACATCCACAGAAAAACCAGTGCTGCATTACATTTCCCTATCTAGAAACCAAAGATTTCAGATACTCATAAAAAATGCCATAGGATTACCTGTTATTAATGGAAATGCAAATCCAGTTTAGCCTGTAATGCACCCTGGATCTCAGAAATAAAAGAATGGTAATTCTACAGTTTCAAGATATGTTTAGTCAGGGCATATCTCTTCTGTCACTGAGTTCTTAGTCAGTGGAAATAGATGTGCCAAATAGTATTTCTTTTTGGTATCTGGCTTTGGCCCTATCTTTCTGTGTAAGGTCGCTATACAGTTCATGATTCTGCTTAGGAAAAAGTTTTAAACCCAAGGGGTCAATTGCTTTTAGGCATACATATCCAGAATCTTTTAAACCAGCTTGAAAATGAATCATATGTGATAGTTTGATAGGTCTTTACTATTAAGAAATAATTATATGCCATCTCTGACTGTGTAGTAATGCCTCTGCTGTCGTGTGTTAATATTTCCCTTACTGGAATTCTTCATAAGAGGTTGGGAGGAAGGGTGTATTTGGATACAAGATGCACTAAAGTTAGATCAAAGTTCCTGATTATAAACTGCTGCAGGATAACTAGTGTTCCCTGAAATGAAGAAATCAGCTCTGGAACAGAGCTTGGTTTACAATTACTATATTAATTTACATCATTAAAATCTGTTAAGTCACCTATCTTCAACCTTTTTTTTTTCTTTTTTTTACTTTTTGTTTTCCCAGAAACAGTCACTTACTGTCTCATCTTTACTGCATGTATCTTTCTCTTTCTTCTGCATGTTTTTTTCTAGGACAGGCGTTTCTGCATTTCTTTTGATATCTTTTGTTGAGGACAGAAATTGAAGCCACTTGGGGGCACTTATGGAGCCTCACGCCTCAGTTCTGGAAATAGAAAAGATTTAAAGTCCAGTCAGTACCCATTATTTATAACCAAAATATACATGGGGAGTATTCCCTGTGCAAGCATACATAGAAGCTTCAGAATGCAAAACTGAAGAGAAATAGAAGTACAACATTCAAAAGTAGCTGAACCGAGCCCTGTGGAGATTGCTCTGATATTCTGTTTGTCTCATTTTGCAATAAATTTCTTTATCCAGAACTATCTGATGCACATAAATGGTCCCTTCTCAGCATGGTTTATTCTGTCACTCTAATTTACTTCTCAATGCATTGTGCTGTGATCTGCACGCTTTGTATTACTGTTATATGTTAACTGGAGGAAAGAGGTCACTTTTCTTTGAACGTACTTATGTCGATGCAGGTAGTAGTAAGGTTGCAGTTTTCTATCTAAGGATCTTATATGTCCTCCCTTTACCATTTTATATGAAGGCACCAAATTCTTTAAATGTGTGTGTCATTGCACAGTTCCATGGACACAGTGAGATGCTGTAATCTCCATGTTAAAGATGTGGAAGCTGTGGAAAGAGGCTTCATGGAAACATGCCTTTACCCCTGCAGGCTAGAAGCTCACAGGGTGCCAGTGCTTTGGGGCATAGCTTTGGGCAGGGGGATCCCGTGAGCCTGCCTAGGCTGGCTGTGGGAGGACTGGGAGTGGTGTCATACACTGCATTTGAGCCTCTTTGCACAGCAGTCTTTCCAAATACCATATACCTATCCAGGGAGATGGCTTAACCTGCCAAAAGTCACAGGAGTAATCTGTGACAGAGCAAACACTTCTGCTTGCATCTCTCTGGGATTGTGCTTATCCTGGTTTTTACTTCTTAAAGATCCCTCTTATTCCTTTTCTGTACAAGAATAAGCTATATGGCACATATATTTCTTCCAATATAATAGTGCCCACACCAAGGAGTTGTCCTTCAATTATGGTGGTATAGCTAAAGCAGAGTAAGTTCTGTGTTCAGTCAGGTCTTGATGGATCAGTTTTGTTTTGGTTTTGTTTTGTAATTACTTTGCACTGTGTGTATGCAAAATATAAAAGACAACATGTATTGACTAAGTTGAAAAGAATGTTGTATTTCCTTTCTGAAACCTTTGGGACTATACAGTCAGGGCACTTGAATTATTTCTACAACAGCTTTTAAAAACAATTTGGATAAAAACCTACAGTGTATGAAAGTGAGACGAAGAGTTTTGGTTAGCAATGGGCAAGGATGGCTGTGCATTAGTCCTCTCCTGAGGAATTTTCGCAGCTATTCCAGCCCTGAGGCTCCAGCATGGCTCTGCTATGTGTTTATGGTCACTGACACCCTGTGCTGATCCTGTCCTCTCCCTGTCCTGCACTGGCTGCCAGTGGGGCCATGTGCTGTGAAGTAGGCTGTATGTGGTTGAGAGAAGTCCCTGGGGCCCTGCAGTGAGCCACACAGCAAACTCGTGTTGATCTGTCATCTGTTCACGATTTTAACCCAGGTGGGAGACGATTTCCCTCACAGAAAGGCCACATTAACGCGCTGCGCTGCTCTGCTCCCTCTCGTGTGCTACGCAGGTCTCCTCACTTAGTCATGCGCTCTACTGCTAGCAACACAGGTTCAGAGCACTTCAAATAACAGACACGTCCTGTAACTCTTGGAACACTGTGGCTTGCCCAATTGTTTATGGGCTGGCCTCAGCTCCCCACCTGTGTTCAAATACAGAGCAGCCATTTTGTCTTCAGAGCCCCTAAAACTATGTTCCACTAAAGGGAAAATCCTGCTGGTATTCTTCTCACTGGGACTTTTGTTCTTTCTTTCGCTATGTTTTTTGTCAAACTGCAATATGGAGTCACACCGACTACAAGTCCATACTGGCTCTCTGTGGGAAATGCTACTAATAACAGACTCACGTAACTGTAAAATCAGTGTGATAAAGAGTTTGGGGGTGGTAGCCTGAACTGTACTTTTCTCTGTCATGGGGATGAACTGAGGCTTTGTCTCTGGTTAGAGCGCTGACAGCTTAGCATCATGCCCAATCCTATATTTGCTTAATAAAGAACAAGGAAACTGACACAAGAGAAAATCCTGCAGAAATTCAAGATGACTTCAAAGTTGCTCACTCAGATGGCTGTGAGGTGCATTATCAAAGTTATTAGGCAAAAAAAAAATAATCCTAGCTGTTTTCATTTACAGCTGGCTTAACTGGAGGGCCAGGGTGAACAGCTTAGCAGGGTGACTGCGAGTCCTGGCAGGCTGGGGAGCTGGGTGGCCTTGCCCACAGCTCAAAGCAGCATCTCAAATCCACAACAAAAGGCACTGATCTCTCCGGTAGCAGATAGCAGAGAAGGACTGAAATAAGCCCATGCTCTTATACTTGAGTTCTCTGTACATTGTGGACTCGGGAGGCAGCCTGCAGTATATAACGCTGTTGGGGCATTACGCTCAGCTCCCACCTATTTATTCTCACTCTCAGTGTTACCGGGAAGATAAGCTTCAAGTTTTCAGGAATCTGTGCTTAAAGTTAAGAGGAGCGTTTGCATTATCAGGAGTACGTGTGTGAAGTGCGCACTACTGCGGCCGCTGACACTCTGAGAGGGACCGGGAGCCGCCCCGTCGCCTGCCGTGAGCTCCCTGCGGGCCGGGGAGCGCCCGGGCTCCGCCGGAGCCTGCCGCCGCGCCCCGAGACCTTCCCACGCCTCAATCCCGGAGGAGCCCCTTCCCTCCCGCACCGCCCGGCGCGGCGGGACCCGCGCCGCGGCAGTTTGGCGACGGGAGCCCTCTCGGCCCCGCTCCGCGCCGCGGGACCCGCAGCCCCCGCGCCCCTGCTCCCAGGCCCGCGGCTTTCCCACCCCGGCACTTGCGGCCGCGCCGTCGGGGCCGCGGGGCGCGCAGCCCGCCCGCCCGTACCTGCTCGTCGGGGCGCTCCGGGGCGGCTCCCGGGCGGGCTCCGCGCTGCGCCGCGGCTCTGTCCAAGGTACCGCCGCCTCCTCCGCGGCCTGGTCCCCTCTGGGCGGGGGCGTGCGGAGCGCCGTTCGTCCCCGCCGCCGCCTGGCTCCTCCCCGCCCGGCGCCGCCCGGCCCGGCCCGGCCCGGCCCTGCCCTGCCCGCCCCTCCCGCTGCGCGCAACAGGCGTTGCCGCCCTCCCTCCGCGTCCGGGCCGCGCCGCGCTTGCTCTGCCCCTTCTGCGGGCTGTGCCTGGCGGTGGCACCGGCGCCAGCTCGCCCTGCGCGGGCTGTGTCCCCAGAGGGCGGGCGGGAGGCGCCAGGCAGAGCCGGGCTCGCCCGCGCCCTCACCGCCGTCGGGGCCAACCGAGAGGCTCCCGGCGACGGCAAGGGGAGCCCCCGAGGGTTGCCGCGGTGACCCGCGTTGCTGCGAGGGTTGTCGCCAGCGACAGGGTTGTCGTCGTGGGGCGTCCGCGGCTCCCGAGAACTCCGATAGCCGAACGGGGCGGGCGGCGCTGCCGGCACCACGGCCGGGAGGGGCGGCAGCGGTCCCGGGAGGGGCTCGGGCTCTGCGGGAGCGGCCCCGGGGCGGCGGGCCAGAGGAGGCGCAGCCGTTGCCGCTGCCCACGAAGAGAGCGGCTGCCTTTCGGGAAGCGGGGCTCGGCTCCTGCCGCGGTAGCCGTTGCTCCTGCGCCCGACCCGCCGTGCCAAAGCACCGTCGCGGTGTTTTCGTGAGTTTTGCGCCGCCCGAGCAGCGACTCGACCTCCCCGGCGGGAGCCGCGGCGCGGCGGGGCCGCGCGTCCCGCGCAGCTGAGCGGAGCCGACGAGCGGCTTCTCTGCGCCTCCCCGCCGGCGCCCAGCTGCCCAGGGGCGGGCGGGAGCCCCTTAATAGATGCTGTGGCCGTTTATGTCATTTTTTTCCCTTTTTGCAATTATAAGTCATTTATTTTGTTTCCTAATGAGCTAGGAATTTAAAGAAACGATTTTATTTTATACCAGACTAAATTTAAAGGGCAAAATACGCACTCTGGTTCCACTGTAGTTGGATCGAAGGTTTCCACTTTTTGCAAAGGTTTGAATGAAGCACTTCACCTATCTTTTGTTTTGTTTAATCCCTGTCGGCTACACTGAAGTGGGCACGTTGCAATTGGGGCAGCATTCAGCACCAAGAAAGGCGTTCTCCAGTGTTGCATTTCTAACTACTAGTAATGTAATTTTCGGAATATTCAAAAATTGAAATTCATGATTGTGAGAATTAAATTCACGTGAAAATACGAGGAGCTGGCTTTATGTGATCGATAGCATGTTTGCAGTGCAGTGTTATTTGCTTGGACCCGTTTAATGTATGTTGAGAAGAATGAATGAGAACATTTTGTACCGGGGTTTTCTCCTGGGTGATTCTGGTAACTGATGAGGTTTGTTTTATGAGGAATTGTTACTGTAGGGGTTACACTGAGCACAACCAGCTCCCTCCCTCAAGCAGCCCTCAACAACGAAACAAAGACAATCGATCCCCTTCAGTTCCATTTATTCAGATAATATTATTCTTGTAGTTTGGACTTCAACATAATACAGTATATTGCATTTACTGGAGAGCAGCACAAGAGAGAAAAAAAGTACAATACTTCAGTTTATTCCCGAGGAAGAATAAGACGTTGTGATAGTTGTTGCTCTTCTTAAATATATGAAACCAACTGAAAATCTAAGTATATGTACACAAGATTTACCAAGTCCCTGAATATGCCATTCAAAATTTTACACAGGCTTTTTTTTGCTTTTCTTGTATTTTTTACAGAGATATACAGTATGTCACACACAGTTTCAGCTTGAGAAAACTTTGCACAATTACACCCCAGGCTGGTGGTTTTTTTGGAAGCATCTCCCCCACCTGATTTATGCCAATTATTATTCAGATAATTTTCTTCAGGATTGTCCCCCCATTCCCCATCCCCTCCACCTTGCCAAAATGCTGAAGGAAATACCAATTAAAAATAAGTCTAGAAGAAGAAAGCCATTACATCATGACAAAGGTTAAACTGTATATATTGCACATCGGTACAGAAACATAATGCAGTAATCCTTTCACACACCCTCCCCGCCCTTCCCTCTCTCCCACACGCCCCTCCTTGCTCCTGGGGTTGGGCTGCGTGGGGGAACCTAACTGTACTCATAGTCCGATGAGTCCTCCTCAGACACCCCTGTCAGGTCTCTGCGGTAAGAGTCCACGCCGTTCTCCTCCGTCTCACCCGCCGGCCGGAGGCTTTTGCCCATGCCTTTGCGCTCCTCCATTTTGATGGTGTCATAGAGTCCCTTAGGTCCTTCTTCAAGGAGGATGTTCGTCTCTGAGTGAGAGGGTTTCATTTGGCAGACGTTTTTGAGGAAGAGGAGGACAGGGGCGTATAGCACGTTGGCAAGCCCCATGCCCAGGTTGAGCTGCGCAAAGCCCATGGTGTGCACAATCTGGCCAGCCACAATGGGCCCCAGAGCGTACGCCACGGAGTAGGAGATGTCTGCGATGGCGTAGACACTGCCATACACTGAGACGTGGCGCACGTCCACCAAGAAGGCCAGGGTGGGCAGCAGGGCCGTGTCCACCAGGGCGATGCCGAAGCAGATGCCGCAGAGGGGAACGATGACCTGCCCGAAATTCCTGCAGGCTGGCACTAGGCAGGAGCTGGCACCGATGATGGCCATGCCCAGGGCCCCGTAAAACCACTGGAGGTGGGGGTACGCGGCAGCCAGCCGGACGGTGACGTAGACACCCAGCACGTGGGGGAAGAAGGCGGGCAGCCAGGTGAGGCCCACCTCCCACTCGCTGGCCCCCATGGACTCCTTCATCCAGTTGGCGATGGTGGGCTCCAGGAAGGCCAGGGGGATGTTGCAGGTGGCCAGGGCCCCTGCCACCACGGCGATGTAGGGGTCGACCATGAGGCGGTGGATGGGGGTGCCCACGGGCATGTTGGCCCGCGCCCCGGTGGCGCAGGGCGGCGCCAGGGCCAGCAGCAGCAGCCCGTCGAGGAGGCAGACGCAGGCCAGCACCAGGAAGGGCACCCGCTTGCCGGCGAACTCGTAGAGGACGCCGCCGAAGGGGGGGGCGGCCAGGCTGCCGAAGGAGATGCAGGCCAGCGCCGTGCCCAGGGCGCGGCTCCGCGCCGGCTCCTCGGCGTAGCGGTCGGCAATGAGGGCGATGCCGGCGGTGTCGGCGAAGGCCGAGCCCAGCCCCTGCAGGCTGCGCGCCGCGAACAGCGTCGCGTAGTTCTCCGCGAAGGCGAAGGTGGCGGTGGAGAGGAACATGACGGCCAGCCCGGCCAGCAGCGGCGCCTCGTAGCCCACGCGGTCGATGAGGGTGCCGCTGAGCGGGTTCACCAGCAGCTGCAGCATGGCCTTGGAGGCGAACAGCACCCCGATCTGCACGTCCTCGTTGCCCCCCGCGGCCGGCGGGTACCGTGCCGGCAGGAGGCTCCGGTTGCCGCCGCCGCTCTCGTTGCCCCCCGCGGGCGCGGACGGGCTGGCGACGCCCCCCCCGCCGCGCATGGCCTCGATGTAGTTGGGGATGATGGGCACGATGACCATGTAGAGCATGTTGTCCAGCAGCAGCGCCACGCACACCACCACCAGCAGCAGTCGCCGCTGCCGCCGCGCCTCCCCCATGGCGCTGCCCAGCCGCCGCCGCCGCTCGCCCACCGCCTCCGACAGCCGCGCCACGGCGGCCCGCGCCCGGCCCGCGCCCCCCGCCTCCGACATCGCCCTCAGCGCCGCCGCCGCCGCCGCCGCCCCGCCGCCGCCCGCATGGGGCACGGCGGGGGCGGCCCCGCCGCCGCCTCCGCCGCCCGAGCCGCTGCCGCCGCTGCTCACCTCCCGGTGGCCGCCGCCAGCCCGCGCCGCCGCTGCGAGGCGGCTCCGAGGGGCCGGCCCTCCATCACCACACTAATAAGCGCCGCGCACGGAAACCCCACCCGCCCCCGCGCCAGCCCCGCGCCCCCCCCCCCCCCCCCCCCGCTCCCTCCTTCCACCTCCCCGCCGGCCCGGCCCCGCCGCACGCCCGCCCTCCGCTCCCCGCCCCGCCCCGCTGTACCGCGCCGCCGGCGGCAGCGCTGCTCGGCCGCGGTAAGGGGGCTGCGAGGAGGGGGTGCCGCCGGTCCCTGCCCACCCCAGGGAGGGGGTGTGTGCCTTTGGGGGGCGGTGGCCCCACCCCCGAGGAGAGGACGCGCCAGCAGCTCTCGCCGCCCCGACGGCGCGGCTGCCCGCGGAGCCCCGGGCGGCCCTGGAAGCGGCCCCGGCTCCCACAGCAGCCTCCCGGGGCCTTCGCTGCCTCGTTACCTCTGGGCCCGGGCGGCGCAGGGGCAGAGCGGGGGCAGCGGGCCGGGCCCGACGTGCGCCTGCCGGTGCTGCGGGCAGCGGTCCCCTGTCCTCTCGGCCCTGCGCCGCAGCTGCCCCGGAGCGGCGGTCCGGGCACCGGCTCGCATGCGGGGGTCGGCGATTATCGGCTCGGCCCCTGTGCGGTGCGAGCTGCAAAGGCGCCCTCTGCCCCTGCACCGGGGCCGCAAGGAACCGCCACCCCCGCTTCCTCCCCCGGGCGCCCTGTGCCTCCGCGGCGCAGCCCGGACCCACCGGTTGCCGCCCTCTAACACGAGAGTTCCTGGCCGGGGCTGGCCCCCAACACCCGGTGCAGCCCCGCCGCCCGGGAGGCGCCCCCGACGGCGTGGCCGGGCCGGGGTAGGGCGCCAGAGCGCACGGAGGGGCTCGGGCTAACTGGGACCGCGGGTAGGGGGGGTCGGGCTGAGCCCTGCCCCTCCTCTGGGGGTGTGTGCTCCCCCCCAGGGGGGCAGCGCTCCCGCTGAGGAGAGCACCGAAGCTGCATTGAAATGCATAGAGCAACACAGTAACGACCTTCCTGCGTGCATGTCTAACACTCGGACAAATCCCAGGGATATGATCTTCAAGTGCGGTGCTTTTACTACTTCCCGGGCCAGTTCTGCAGCTGGAAGCTCTGCAGGGCAAGGGGCCTCATTTAGTATAGAGGCTTGGGTAATAGGAAGATAATCTTGGCATAGAGGGGGAATATATATTCCCGTATATATTAATAAATTCTTGTAGCAGAAATGACACGTGGACTGATCCAAGGAGGATCTCTGCAGAAGGCTGTATGAAATAACTGGATCTTTCAGCTGAGTAGATGTGGAGTTTGGGTGCCTTCATTTGCTTGTGTAGCTGGGCTTCCGTGGCTGAAAGGGAGATGATTTATCTGTCAGTTGCTGTATCTTGCTCCGTTGTCTAGATGGCCAGAAAGACTTAAAGATGTATCCCTGCATGGCATGCAAACAGATCCAATTGTGTTTACACAAGAGTCTTAAAGCACACTTAAAATAACAGTACCCCTAGACATCTATATTTCCATTGTTACCATTATTTGTTATTCGTTTACTACCCCCACTGTAAAGCTGCAGAAATACTCCACTGACAATAGGGACGAAGCTCTTGACCTGGGACTCTGAATAAGCGAGAATTCTAAATACTTCAAAAGATCATTTCAGAGTGTAGAAGGAAAGTGTCTGAGAGAATAGAAGAGTCTTATTGGAAGGGTACTGAGCTAAAGGCCATGGCTGCTGCACTTGGCTGCATGGCTCTGGATACTTGTCACCTGTGAGATTGATTTAGTTGGGGAAAAAAACCCCAAACACCACAAAGCCCATCCTCCTCTGATTCCTCAAACAGACCCTGGGGTAGCAGCCTGAGAACATATTTCTGCGAGAGACCACAGGCACAGGAGAAGCGTCTCCCAGGATGGTAAGCAAACTGCTGAAGGATGCACCTCCTGATTGGGATGGATATCACGTTTGCAGTAAGCAGTAATGGGTTGGGGGCAGATATGACTTTGGATCATTGCAGTGCTGCAGTCAGGAGTATTGGAATCTTGGCTCTTGCTTGATGAGGCACTTTATTTGATTAAAGTTTCCCTTTTAATCAGAGATATGGTCATTTCCCGTCTCTAAAATGGAATCTGGCTCTGGGGGTCATGTCTGGATAATAAAGGGACTGGTTCTCTTGTCTCAGGGGAGCTGATATCGAATTTATTACCATCAAGGGAAAGCAGAATTATACTTGTAAAATGTTGCATAATAAATTTAGCCTTCTTAGTAAATCAAATCAGCTGATACCCTTATCTGTAAGAGATGCGTCATCGCTACGTGAGCTTCTTTGACTAGACAGAACTAATGGGGAGAAGATGTACCTTCAAATGTGGTCATAGTTGATGGACCCACAGTAAATTAAAGGGAAAAAAAAGTCTCCCTGGTGTTTGGCTTAGAAATTCGTAATTATATTTGGAAAGGGACTTCAGGGTGAGATGAGACAACTTTTAAAATTTTGTACTTTTATCCCAAAGCCCAGAAGATGTGACACTTATTTGATTTGAAAGGAGGAATGTGGAGGAGGTGATGTACTTCATTTGTCCTCCAGTGCAGAACATGCGGTTTTGGAAAGCCGCTGTTAATGTCAAGGAGATGGAGAAGATTTTAGGTCTGTATAAAGAACAGAGTTGATTGCATCAGGACTTCTTACCCCTTTCTTTGTTCTAGAGGCTGTAGATGAAGGAAAATGCAGCTCATAATGACTATTTTGCCATAAAGAAGAATTTCTTCTTGAGTCAAAAAGAAACCCAGGGCCCAGGAAGTGAAATTACATTTAGGATCTTCAAGATTCAGAAAATATATAACACACATATAAGCCTAGAAACCTACACATCTGATAATGGTATCAGTTCAAGTTGAACGTGGGGGGAAAGTGGGGTTTAGTATGACCAGTTGGTCGCACTTCTAACACTCGCTTTAGTTTAAAAAGAAAGACTTACCTATGTTGGGAATTTTGGAAAAATGCAACAGGTTTCTCTCCAAAGATCAAAATAAATATCCAAGTAGTTAGACGGAAAAAAATTGACTTGTGTACAAACTGCACTTGCTTGTCCTGCTACCTACTGAATTGATAGTCCTTGCACTTTGGAATGACAGTTGTTTTTGATGCTGTATCAAGGTGATCTCACAGGAAGAGAGAGAGAAGCAACAACTGCTGTGATGCACTCTGCTGTCAGGAATAGACTTAAGTTAATTGTGCATCCTTAGGAGTCTTTCTTCCACAGGAGAAAAACATTTTGTTATGAGGAGTCCAAACACAATGAGTCAGAGAGTTAGAGTTCCTCATGTCTGCAAAATATTAATTTTCTTAATAGCCCGAGTACTTAATGTCTGCAATAGTGAGCTTGTCCTCTTAAGGATATGGCAATACTTTTTAGCACTTAGTGCTAAACTGTTTATGTATTTCTTTTCTAATTTTAATTTCTGATTAAAAGACCTGCTAATCTGATCCTGCTGAATAGGAGAGGCTCACCTAGTTTGACAAGTATGTTATAGTCTTTAGAAGTGTGGTGGAGGAAAAGGGAAGAGATAGAATGTAAAGTCCATTTTCAACAACTTCATTCCAAAAGCATTTTTGTGCACAAAATGGTCAGGCTGTCAAACAGAAACCAACAAATTTTTGCCGTGAGTGTAATTATTGAGAAGATATTGGGTATTTGCTTTAGCCATTAACATATTTCTGTATGTCAGTGGTAGTTGAGCTTCCTGTCCTTCCTGATTGGCACTAAAATCTTTGTTCCTGAGGCAGATGGACACATGGATGCAGGCAGAGGTTCACAAAGGCACACACAGGAGCTTTGGAGAGCAAAGAGGGAGTTCTGGTAGCGGGCTGGCAAATCCCCTGGCTGGTGGCACCATGCAGTGGCACCGGGTGGGGGGAGGCCAGGCAGGGCTCAGCACCCCTGGTCCTGCTTTGAGTTCTCGCTGGGCAGGTCTGGTTGGCAGTGCTGGCTGGAGAAGCCTGAGCCCCTTCAGTCAGTGGGGCTTTTGGCATTAGTGGGAATAGCCAGCAGGCACAGCCGTCTGGGGAGACCGTGTCTGTTGTAATTCTCTGTCAAAACTTCACGCGTGATACAGGTGTGACGAGGGATGGGGGCTGTACATGAAAGTGTGCCTGTCCATTTCTGTGAAAGCTGTGTTCAATGAGCAAAACTGCTCTTTATAAATGGTTGTCATAACCTCTTTTGGTTTTTGTCTTTTTTTTTTTTTTTTTTTTTTTTTTTTAGGAATGGTAAATGATCAGTTTGTTTTTTGTTTTTTGTTTTTTTTTTTTGTTTTTTTTTTTTAATGTTGCACCCATACTTCATGCTGCTTCACTCTTTGGCAATAATGATTAGAGAGAGACAGAAAAATTGATGAGAAGGAGAAGAGAGAAAGTAACTCTGGGGTTTGTGTCTCAGCTTAAGTTAGCTCTAGCAATAGTTGATGTTCTTGTTAGTGGTAATAGACAGTTTTTCAGTTAGAGTTAAAAGAGAGCTACTAAATTATAGTGTCTTCAAACTCTAAAAGTACAGGATATTCTCTATGATAAAGTCACGTCTCTACTTCTAAATGGGTGAGTGAATGGAGTTTCCACTTCCCCTCCTGGAGAATACCTAGCTGTCCAATAAAATTCGTGGCTTGAGTAGTCTCCTAATGTTTACTTTGACATTTCTTTTCCTGTTTTGTTCCCAGTATGCCTATGTCTACTGTGTGTCACCTTAAACCACCCATGTCTCTTCTCTACATCCTTCAAACATTTGCTCTGTCAGTCCCAGACTAGATGAGGATGACAAATGGTGCCCATCTTTGAAATTCCAGAAGCAGCTATAAAATCTGGGAAGATCTTGCTCC